TTCCAACGAATTATTTTTTTTTTTTTTTTTTTTTTTTTGTTAATTTATATTCAGTTTTTATTATTCTCGGTGTTCGGTCTCAAGGCTATTGAAGCTAGAGAAATTTATTTACATAATATTTATATTAGTTAAAGAATTAATTTAATCGTCTTTGTTATTGTCATATTGTTAAAATCCGAAGCGCACGCTTCCACGTACCTGCCAAATGTATATAGATTCATTATATTTAATTAATTTTTAAGTTATACAATTTAAATAATATATTAAAAGATTCATGGCGCATAGTTATATTTATTTTTTAATTTATATAATGCGTCGAAATATCGACGTTATTATTTTTAATAGCTTTTCTAAATTTTATTATACGTCCTCGTTATACTAGCAAGTTCGTACAAATTTTGAAATGTTCATATCCTGGTGACTTTTTATGTCTGTTATTTCGACCAATTGTAACTGTTGTAATATGATTAGGAATTATATCATTTCTTTACACTGGGATTGAGAAACCATTTTTTTAAAAATAAGGTCTCTCTCCTTAATTTTGGGTAAAAAGGGTGTCGGTAGGTTTTGGTCTTTCTAAGGAAATGTAAACAAGATTTTCACTAGGCATAAGTAACGAATGAACCAATAAGGGTTTACACGCGAGATACGAGTAAATTTCTTTAAACATTGTTGAGTTTTAATTATTTGTTTTTCATTATTTAGGTGTTGTCGAACCTTGTATATAATTGTTTCTTACTGTTTTTCAATAAAACTTTTTGGGAAAGTTTGCTTTTTTTTTCTCTCTTGTATTTAACCTATATTTTATCTAGTTAATCAAAAATAGTCCACGAAAGATACTCTTGAAGTTGGATCTGAGACTGTAAGTTTCCATAGAAACAGTTTCCATTCACTTCACAAAAGTGTTCTCACCGGCGGGTTATGTAAAATCCATGCGAAAATTAAGAGGATTCAATGTTCACGTTGATTGGTAATTAAAATCAAATTAAGCGAAAGTAAAATGCATGTAACAACTGCTCTCAGGAAGTAAGTGGATCAATAATTTCTGAGTATAAAAATAAGCATATAATAACGGAGTTTTTCTATTCATTAGAAAAGGCCTTTTTGAAGTTCCCAAGCCAAGAAAGATACCAGGGAATGCAGAGAGTTTGGAAAATGTTGCTGGTAAGAGGAATATTGGAAATTCAGGTGAACCAGCAATTGGCAATATCAAAAATGTTCTGGAGTCCAGTAATATGCCTAAAACAAGACTTAGTCCAAATCGCGAAATGCGTTCAAATTCCTCACCTCGACTCAAATGTTTTCCTGCTGAAACCATTAAGAGAAATCGCAGCCCTTCGCCATATTCTGGCACGCCTGCGGGACCTGAATTTACTCAGCAAAGTCACCAACGGATATTTCAGCAACAGCCAGATGAACATAAATTACTTCAGCAACGTCAATCGGAAGTGCTGCTTAGCACGCAAGCTCCTGCAATTCCGTTAGAACGTCAGGCTCACAGACCATTTGTTCCAAACATGCCACATGCCGTAGTAACGAGAGATTTTTCGCCCAGGAAAGCTGCAACTGCACCGGCAATTCCTATTGTTTCTGAAGTTCCTCAGCAACAACGGACGCAGCAGCCAATTCCAATTTCTGTGCCTTTCAATAATATACAACAGATTGCTGGACCAATTTCTCAGGATATTCTACGGCAGAACAGGTCTAGTGAAATTCCAGGATACAATCAGCGTACTGTTGCTGGTCACAATAAAGTTGTGTATCCTGATGGAATTGTACAAGAGAAGAATCAGGAACGTTTACAGTTGCAGTCTGCATATACCGAACCAAATCTCGTTAAAATTCCTAATAACCAAGAAGCAACGTGGCCTACAGCAATACGATCATTGCCACAATACCCACAGTATGCTTATCAACAGCAATTGCAAAATAATTTTGCTATGCAACAACAGATGCAACAAAGAGCGATGCTTGAGCAGCAACGTATGATTCAGCAACAAAATAATCAAATAGGTTACAATAATTACTTGAATAGACATTCAGGCTTAGATGGAAATTGGTTTCCCAGGAATGTAGGAATGACTTCACCTCAAGATATTGCTACAAATCAGATAAAAACAATCCAGCAACAGCAACCGTACTACAGAAATATACCTTATTCTATGAATCCACAAAATTCGTGGATAAGAAGCAACAGTATGATTGACAATCAATTGACACAGCAATCAAGCGATCAAATTCAGCAACCAATGAAATATTATCCACAACCGAGCCAGCAAGTCAATTCGCACCCTCAACAATATCAACAACTACAACAATCCCAGCAATTATATCAACAACAGCAGCAACAGTCAAGCGACAGAAGAAAAGTTGTAAAATTTACCCCTCAAATGATTCGCGATCAGGAATTGCTGATTTCGACTATGCGCCAGCAAGGAATTCCCGAAGATATTATGAGACGGCAATTCGACACGTTACTTCTTGAGCAGCGTCGACAAATATCCTACTTGGAACAGATGCAAGAAAATGATGATGATGACAAGAAACCGATACTGGTAAGGAAAAGAAGAATCACAAAAATTGCCGAGGATGAGAAGCCTGAGTGGATGCTGCACTTAACACCAATCAGAATGACGTACAATGATTTTAATAAGATTCAGCAACAACGGACTCAAAATAAACTAAATAAGCATCTAATGATAGACCATGAGCAGAAACGAGGAAATGTTACTCTTGATGGACAGGTAAAGAATGCCTATGAGCAACAAGGAAACGAACAGCAGAATAGTAATAAACTGTGCCAGCAACAACCAATGTATCATCAGCAACAAAACAGAATTCCAGCAGTTCATAATAATATGATTCAAAATTATCAAATGACGACAAATTCTATGCCTGCCCTGTACCAGAATAATCCTGCATGTTTATCGGCTACTCAACAATATCAGCAATATTCGGATCCTAGATATTCAATGGAAATTCAGCAACAGCAACAGCAACAGCAACTACAACTGCAGCAACAGCAACAACTGCAACAGCAACGACTGCAACATCAACAATTGCAACAGCAACAACACCAGCAACTGCAACTGCAACAACACCAGCAACTGCAACTGCAGCAGCAGCAGCAGCAGCAACAACAGCAACAGCAAGCATGGCAAATGCATCAATATGGAAATCCTCCAACTGCTGGAATTGCCTTAGAAACAAATCAGCAACGAACAAGAATAGTAGAACCTTCCAGTTTACTACAACTTCGAAAATACAAAGAAGTCATTAGGCCGCAAAGACAAAGTAATGGTTTGCAGGATCCTGAAACGATTCGACAGGCACTGGAAGGTTTGAAGAAATCTGAAAATCAAAGAGGATATGAATATTTAGTAAATTTAAATAAAAAGGACAACAATGTTCGATTAAATGGAGCACAGGATCCTGAAACAATTCCAAAAGAACGTAGACAACCTCCACAACTCCAGGAACAACGAAGAAACATTTCAGCCAATGGAATCGAGAATACCAGAAATCCAAATAATCCAGCACCACGGCCAATAGCATTTTCTAGGAATTCCCATGAACAATTATACGAGTATCCTAGACAAAAAAAGACTGCCACACATTCCCAAAATTGTTATGGCTTAATGGCCGAAAAAGAAAATGGGACCGCGGGACCTTATCTGCCAATGAATTATCCACATTATGAGGCAAGTTATCAACAGATGCTACCGGAACATCATCAACAGCAAGCGTACTCCCCTGAAAATTATCAGAAACAGAATATGCATCAGCAAGGAATGTATTATCAGCAATTGTCGAATTTGCACAACGAAAAAACAGCATTGAGTATGAAAAAATCTGAAACTCCATCCAGATTTGATGGTGCTCAGTATCTGGCTAATAATCAGGGTCAACAATTTTATGGAAGTGCACAACATTTTAATGGAAACGGTCAAGGCGATAATTCTGCACACCAACAACGCAATTGTCAGCCAGTTGGATATTGGCATAACATGGGCAGCGATGCGCAGGATAATTTTAAGAATTCCGCAGGACGCGATTTCATCCAAGACAGTTGCGGCCAACCGGAAATTCGTGTTCCAAAAATTATAGGTGGCGTTACTTATCTCGCACGACGTCCTGACTTCATTTCGAATCCTTCTGGCAAATACTTGCAACCTGCCGTTTGTCAACATTAACCCTGATAAAATTCAGGCTTTTTATAAGTATATATTTTATATAACATTATTTTATATGATTTCATATATACCATACTATTGGTGATGTACTTGTATTATACATATGTTTTTTTATCTACTTCCTTTTGCAAGCTACTGTATGATGTATGTAAATATAAAGGAAGAAAATCCTCAGAGCTTGCTCCGAAAAATAGAAAATAAAAATCAAATGACAGTCAAACGGCAAGCCTCAATTATTTCACGTAATTTTGACAGTTTTAAAATAATTTCAAAATTATCTACACTAAATTTTCACAAACTAAAAATGGGACACTGCTCAAAAAATCGTAATTTCATGGACGAGCTCAGAAACATTATTTGCGCTATTGAAACAACGTAAGTACAAAGAATTACGTATTTAAATTTGGTACAATATTTTTTTCCAGTATTCGTCGATAATAATTTTGGACTTCTTATCAGGAAACCGGAGCCTGAAGTTTGTAATACGAGATGCCCTCCTTTAGGATGTCCTCGTGGACCTTGTCCAGGAATGTGCTGCTACCAAGGGGTTTGCGATCCTTGTTGCGTTTCCAAAATGCCTTGTTGTCCGCCACCACCTGATCCACCATACTGCTGCGTACCAGCATCTCTTTTAAAATCATCATGCTGTACTCCAAGAAATTCCTGCAATTCCAAACATCCATGCTCTTTGCCATATAGACAGTGTTAAATATTCTGTTCTTATATTGTCTATGCTAAATAAATAATAGAACAGTCAATAATTTCGATTAGCTATTACAAAGCAATAAGAAACAATATATAATCAGTGCAAACTTCACTTGAAGCATAAGTAGTCGGCAAGAGAATAAAGGATATAATAATTTTACAAATAAATAATGGAAGAAACAACCAATGCAGACTGTCTAATTAAAGCTCTTCCAAAAAAATGGGATCTAATGAAAATATTCCAAATGATTTTGGACGACAAGCACATTCATAAGAATGAAAAGTTTACTGATGTAAGTGTTTGTAAAATTTGGAGGTTCTTTTTGGGGGAGAAAATTTTCAATTAATATTTCTTGTTTTAGACTATTACCATTTTCCCATCTGAATACATGAAGCAAATGTCATTAACGACCGAGGAGCGATCAGACTTTTTATTAAAATCCAAACAGAAATCAGAATTTCTTGAAATTTCCGTTGCCTTTAAAGTAATTCCCAGTATTGTTATTTTTCAAAATTTTATACCTGGACAAGTCTACAGTGTCACTCTCACCATACGCAACGCATCCAATGTAAGAGAATATTAATTAACTAATAATGAAGCATATTAAAATTAGTGACCTTTGTATTCTCTAAAAAAAAAAGATTCTACATTCTTTGAAAATGTCCTCCAACACTGATCCCTACTTCAGTGTAGAACATAAAGGATCTCTGGGCACAAAAATTGCACCAGGCATGGCATCCGTTTACAGCATAAAATTTGTGCCTATGGAAAATCGTGACTATGAGTATCAACTGACATTTGCTACGGATTCTGAAACTTTTAATGTTCCTGTAGTTGGTAAAGACCTAGTCAAAAAGTTCTTGCATTATTATTTCTATTGAATAATCAAATTTTCAGCTATTGGACCCAGGCCAATATTAGACTTTCCAGACATAATAAAAATTCCATCTACGGCTGTCAAAGTAATATCTTTTAAAACAATTCTTGTACGAAATGTCAGTGAAGTAGCAGCAGTCTTCAGACTCTTCAGTGACAAGTACTAATAGACTTTAATATTATCAAAATTGTATTTTCTCAATCTTACAATTTTAATTACAGCCCTAAATTCTCAGTGAATCCTTGTAAGGGTCTGATTGAAAAAAATGATACTGTACAGTTTACCATAAGTTTTGTGTCAGACAAAAGTGGAGATTTTGAAGCCAATTTATTGCTGAGATACGAAATTGGTATGGCAAAAGTGTCACTGTCAAGATTGTCGAGAGACTGTCATTTTATAATTTTTGTACAGGAGAAACCATTGGGATGTCTCTAAAAAGTTCAGCTATTAATGCTAATGTGAGATTAGACCGTGGAAGCTTAAGACTGGATGAGACATACTTTGGATTATCCAGATCAAAAAATTTTACCATTCATAACAGAAGTGATTATATTGTTAAGTTCCATTGGATGCAATACAAGGATAAGGAGAGTGATGAAAAGAGAAAAACGGAGTAACTAGAAAATTCATAGAAAAATTGGAAACCAATGAAGATCTACATTATTATTTTGTCTTTCAGATACGCAAGAATATTTGAAATTGTCAAATCTGTTGAGACTCTGCGCTGTATGGATTTAATCCATTACAATATTTGTCAAGCAGAAGTACACGAATACATCTGTCACAGAATATATGCAGATGAGATAGTACAACTTCAAAGTTGCACATTTGATTACAAGCATTCCTGCTTTAAACTTAGTCCAATGGTACAGTAAGTTAATTTCTTGAATATTAGAACTTAGTCACTGATATTTTATTTCTTTAATTCTAGTCTGGAGAAATTTGGCCACAGAGCTCAATAGACGTACTGTTGGTATTTGATCCTGATGAAATAGGAGAGATCACTAGTGTGGCTTATTTGGAAATTGATGGGCGCGAAGATCGGATTCCTATAAAGTAAGAAAAATGCAATTACAATGAAAAACGAATTGTGATTAAGAAATAATTATTTTGTAGTTTCACTGGAATATGCATAGGACCGACATTTTCTTTAAATATAGTCACTGCTGACGTGGGTTCCATTTTTTTGTGCTCCGTTCACAATTACGAGGTAGTCAAATACATTTATATGAACATACGTAAAGGATTAAGATTTAACAAAGTTGTCATTGCATTCCCTCAGATAATCTGTGTCAATAAAGGATTCATTCCTGGGACCTTGATCTATCGATCAAAGCCTACGGATTTTGGTGGTAAAATAGAAGTGACCCCAACCTGTTTGAAATTACAACCAGAAGAGCACAAATCCTTCAACGTGGCATTTTCATCGAAGAAAACAGGCGAATTCGTAGAGAGAATTGATTTCGTAGTAAAGGAAAGTCTCGAGACAATATCCATGTACATTAAGTAAGTCGCGTAACAAAAGCAATAAGTATTTTCTGAACATAACAAATTTCCACTCACTAAACTCCAGAGGTAACGTAATACGTCCGACCCTGCATTTTGACAAGGATTGTCTGGATTTCGGCGTGACAGCAGTCGGTAATAACTGAAACATTCCAAAAGAAATTAAAGGTAAAAAAGATCCTTTTGATTAATAAATTAATTTATCCCATTTTAGGATTTACAACAAAGCACGAGGTTTGCCTTCACAATCTATCCTTAGTCCCAGTAACGTTTCAAATGAATGTTCTGGGCGACGGTAGTCATTCTGCAATAAGCCACCACGATTTTGCTACGTCAATCAATAAACCAAAATTGGAAGCTCGTCCTCGAGAATTTAACATATTCCCAAAAAGGGGTGTAGTAATGGCACACAATTTTTTGAGGGCCAAAATAGCCTACACACCCAACATAGTCAAATACGGTCAAACTGCAATTCAGGTTGACATGTGGGACTCTGATTCTGATCCTGTGATGCTGCCAATAACATTTCATGGAAAAGTTGCAACCCTCGTGGTAACACCGGCTGAAATCACCATAAGATTTTGTTTCATAAACTTTCCATATACGCGCACCATCACCATAGGGAATACATCTGACGTTGAAGGATACTTTTATATTATTCCACAATCCCTTGGCGTCTCGACCACCATGTTGTACTCCTTGTCAATTTATCAGGGATACCTGAAACCATTGCAATCAAAAAATGTAACGATAACAATAATGACAAGCGTCTTGGGAACACAGCAGACACACTTGTAGTAATATTTTGTTCTAAGAGAATACAGCAAAGTAAAATATTCATACTCTTTAAATATTCATTTACATTTGACAGTCTTCTCACATTTGGGGAAGAAAATCCAACAATATGTTGTAGTCTTATTTGCAATGGACAAGGACCTGTTGTCTCTGTAAAGCCTAGACACTTGGATTTTGGTGAAGTGTTGTTGTTGCGCAATGTTACATTACCATTGATGCTCATAAGTGATTCGCCAATCCCAGCATCATATAGAGTGTCCATAGTAAGCCACCTTTGAGTAATTATATAAAGTACATGTTATTAAAACAACATTTGCATTCCTCAAATTTCTTATAGAATAGAAAAAAATCACCCTGGACGATACGACCTACAAGTGGAGAATTAGAATCTAATCAACAAGTAGAATTGCACGTGACTATTTTTCTTACTGATAGTGGAAAATACTCTGATAAAATTTCAATTATGATAACAAATAGTAGAACCATAAGTGTGCATGTAACTGCAACAGGAATTGGCACAAGCATAGAATGTAATCCCCTGATTTTTCCCTCGTACGACATGGGTCTGCTGTTTAGGTAATTATTATCAAATAATTGTACATAAAATATTTATTAATAAACATTTACTATTTTAATCTAGCCACGAGAATGTCAATATACCAATAACAATCACTAATAAAGGTACCAGGAATCATCAATTGATTTGGTCCAACACTAGTGATCTTCGTGTTTTGCCTAAAGGCCGTATAGAGCCGCCAGTTTGGTAAATCAATAAATCAGTCGTTAAATTAGATAAGTCAGTAGATTCGATAAGTATTTTAATAAAGAATCTTTACAGTGAGAAATTTGCCATTGTTCCATACATGGTTAATTTACCACCAGGCAACAGTGCCACAGTCAGGTGTAAAATATCTTGGGAAGAGTAAGCGTCTAACTGATAATAATTAATGACTATATTATTATTGAAAAAAAATGTTCTTCTTGCCAGGAACGAAACTGTCAAGGAAGAATGGTATCTTCATGCATTGATAGAAGGACAGGGAAGGCGGGAAGTAATAGGAAACGGTACATTCACAGTTACTTTCATTGAACCTCGTATATCCTTTAGCAAGAAACAATTGTACTTTCGTATGGATTTGTGTTCTGAGGGTGACAAAATTCAGGAAATCGGTTAGTTAAAATGAAAAAAAAAAGGTAATGTTTTTTATAAGCCTCATAATGCAACTGAAGTTCAAACATTATATTCAGATGATCTGGAGGTAACTAATCGATCACAGCTCAATTTAAATGCTTGCATCAACGTGGATCCGCCTTTTAAGATGATTAATGAAAAGGAGGAACTGATTAATTCTATGTGTGTTCTGCTGGAAGATTATGTTCCCATACAAATCCGTGTACTATTTTCATTTAAGGATGTTAATGTAGGATTTACAGAACCACAGACTTTTCAAGGATATCTTAAATTCGATTATGATGGACATCCTACTAAAGTAAAAACTGTTTAAGCAATTTGAAATGAATTGTTAATTAATAATCTAATATGAATGCAGGATAAAATCAAGTGCATAGCAGAAATAAACTATCCGCGTATATTACCAATTCCCAGGAATATAAATTTGAGCTGCGTACTTGGTTGCAGTACTGAGAAACTTTTGAAGTTACGTAATGATACTCCAATTTCAGTACACTATGAGATTCAATGGATCGAAGAAAGTATTACTGTCACGAAACATGTTGCAGATACCGAAGTGCCTATTTAGTTTTCTTTATGAATCAAATGGGTATTAGAAATTGATTCTAAGTTTAACCATTTTTTCAAATGTCAGAATCTAGAAAATTGCGAGAATGTTACTGAAAAGAATGAAATCATCTTCGAGAAAGAGAATAAAAATGATTTGAAGAATAAAGAAATAAATCAGCAATCTGTACAGTTATATGATAGTAACGTTACAAAAACTATAACGGAAACTGATATTTCTTGGCAAGAAGTCAAGGACCTGCTGCTACCAATAATTGACAAATATTTCATTGAAGATACTGAAATTCCAATACTGAATGTTTTAAGTCAAGAACCTCCTTCTAGTGAATTTATCAACGAGGTTGATTATTATAATATCATTTAGCCTAATCAAAAATATAAACTTCAACTTGTACAGGTTTTAGATATTGTACCTTGGAAAGGACAAGTACCGCCACATTCATCTCAATACATTAGCATCGCTTTTCATGGTTTGACAGCAATGAAAATTGATGCTAATATTGTATGTAACGTGCACCGAGGACCTTCAGAAATAATAAAAATTCAGGCAGTATCGGATGCCATTAAATTTTCTATCGATAAGAAGACCATCGATTTTGGACAGAAGGTAAATTACGTGTCTCAATTTCTAGCGACACTGTTATTAATTTCAAGTGTTTGAATTAATTGTTTATTAACAACAGATATTCTCCGAGACTTGCCAAGCAACTTTGACAGTGAAGAATGACAGTATGATTAAATTTACCTATAGAGTATCCAAAGCTGTGGAAAGTCCTATCATCGTTCAACCAGAATTTGGTACAATTGATTTACAAGCAACTGTTGAATTATCAGTTTCTTATCAGCCAAGAATTCCTGGTAGTTTCAGGGATAGCTTCGAAATCGAGGTACCACCCTGCAAGAACAATTAAAAATCACTTAATAATTCTAAAGACTTACTATATTAATATTCTTAATATTTACAGGTTGGACATTTGACAAATATTTCAATAAATATAGAAGGCTTTGCATCACTTCCTCAGGTTTATTTGAAACTGCCAAGAGAGAATATTTTTAATGATAATAATCAAGAATTTGAATATCAGGCGATTAGTACAATTACCACAGAATTTCTCTCACAGGTACAAACTAAGTCAAATTCATGGAATTAACAGTCTAAAACTAAATATTTCAGATTGACAAACGAAATCTTCATGAAATTGAATTGATAGTTCCTCAGAGTAATATCGAAGACTCTGAAATAGATATTAACAATCTTCTGGGTAATAGAAAATATCGTAATTTGAAACGTACATTTCCTAAAATATTTTTTTTTAGCAAACGGTTGGGAGATTATTTCATATCCAAAAATATTTCCAACTGCCCTGGATATCAATATGGCTATTGATAGGATGCTGGCACAAAAATTTATCAAAGAAAATATATATCTAATTAAAGATTACAATGTAACGAATAAAAAGAGTGTGATACCTTATCTTTATACACCAGAATATATTATTGGTGAGTACCAATTATTTTTACTCAACATTCAAAATGACAATACAATTAATATTCTTCTTTAGATATGGGATATGTTATTATCAATCAAGCAACTCATTACTCAGCCTTGTTATTCAATTATGGTCCTACAAGTGTCCAAGTGAAAATCAAAAGATTACCCAAAAAAGATCCCTTTCATAAATCTGGAATCTCTTTTCATTTTCGAGATCAGACTAATTTACCAGCTGGAGAATATACGACCCTCCATATTACATTTTTACCATTGCCATCTCGATACAATGACAGAATAACAGAAATAAGACACAGAATTTATTTCGAAGTAATTTTGACATTGATTAAAGTTTACCTCGTTGCTTCTTTGAGCTTAAATAATTTTTTCAAAATTTAGGTAACATACGGCTGTACCATGCCAGTCGCTATTTTGAGTACGGTTACATATCCTTATATGTCTGTGAACACAAATTCTTTGGATTTTGGTAAAGTCATTGTTGGTGACTGTCTAATGATCCCACTTGTAATTAAAAACATGTATGTAAAGAGAATTTATATTTATTAAGCAATTTTTTAAATTAATTTTCGTTTCCCCTTTTTAGAGGTCTGGTGGAATCTGTTTGGCAAATAAAATTGTCAACAGGAAAAAAAACAAGAGAGGAATGTCCATTTATAGTCTATTACAAAGAGGATCGATATGCCCCAGAACAAAGTGGCATTATAAATGTTTATTTCAAACCGATAAAATCTGTAAGAATCTCCTTTTCAGTATTTCAATAGCTTGAATAATAATTGCCCAAATTCATTTGATTTTCAATTAAGGCGACTATCGAAGCCAAATTAAATATAATAGTTCACCAGAGCCTAGAACAACCTACTATTATTCTAACTGGAACTGGAATACAGCATACAATAAAAATATCGCAATCCGAAATTATATTTCCTACCATAATCCCGTTTTCGAAAATCGAAGATATTACATTCACTATTGAAAACATTGGACAGTGTCCTGTAGAATTTTATTGGCATCACCTAGACAAGTATTTTGAAAATTATTCTAATCGACCATTCTTATAAAACGGGGAATAATTATTGTTTGTGCATAGCGAATTCCTGACGAACGACAGAATATCCAGAATTCTCACCCATTATTATGGAACCAATGAGATCCTTTTGCCACCGAGAAGAACCGGCGAGCCACTGCCCAGACATTTCTTAACATTTTATGGAACTCTTATTCAGGATATGGCAACTGCATTGAACGAGACACGTCGTCTCCAGGAATTAGAAAACAGTAAATCTGAAACAACGGTAGATACTGAGCAGGATATCAAGGAAATTCTGGAGAATTCTAAGGAAAATAAGGATAAAATAAAAAAAATTAAATCGTCTCCCGATTCTCGAAAATCGTTGAATCGTCGAGCGACGGACATTCTGAATACTTTTTCTCCAATGCAAGATGTTCCTTTTTTGGATACAGATGATGCTGACGAGATAGAAAATCTCGTACACTGTAATTTTCTTCAAAATATTATTTCTTTTCTCGTGTAGATATTTATTTCCATCTTCCTATGTACGTACATTAGGCTATATAGACGAACAGCAGAAAATGGCAGATTTTCATGAAAAAATGAAAGATCCCGTAAAGAACATGTTTGATTCTATTGAAGAAAGAACTACGTCAGTCTTAATAAATCATCCTGTATCAAAAATGAAATTATTAATGATCTTTCACGGAGCACCTTTTACTGGTAATGTCAGAAAGCAAAAATTAAAAGTTGCGTTGTATAACTAATTCAGAATAAATATAATCAGAGTATCAAAGGGCAGCTTATCGCTGTGCCAGGATTCTTCAAATTCCTGTTTTAAACCTGGACAAAGCATTTCTGGAAATCATGGCTCTAGGAAGTGACGCGTGTGCTAGTAAATTGCGTGAAACTGTGGATTTCAGTTACAATGAATTAATACAGAAATTGGAGCAGCGCAAGTGACTAACAAAATAATAAAAAAGGATTCTTTCTCTTGACTACATAATTCAATTTTTATTTGTAGAGACTTATCAGCTGCCAACAAAGAAACTGCAATGGATAGTTCCAGATACGCAATTACCATAGAATCAATAAAGTCCGTTTCTCCAAGGATTAAGGAAGATCCTGCTGAGAAAGCAATGATTAAGATTTATACCGATCCTAACCCTGCGGAGGAATTTCTAAAAATTCCATCACCTAACGATATTGAGAATATACAAAATTCATTGACCAAATATGAATACAAGGTGGAGGCTATTCTGTTGATGCAACAAATTTTAGCCAGACCTACTACCGGAAAGAATAAATCTGCCAGGACTGACAAACCTGGGAATACATTTTTGAATATTGAAAAAGAAATCTTAGTTGAAGCATTATCTAAAAGGTTTGATAAAATCGTTATTGCTTTTAATTTGTATAAATTTCTAAGAAGAATTCTCTACAGAATATCAATGTTGGATTTTGAAAATGGTTTCGTGCTGGTAACACTAAAGAATGATTTTTTGAAAAACGAACTGGAGACTTTATCAGTAATTCTAAAAATTGTTGGAAACGTTAAATTTCCAATTTTCATCAGTTTTTACAATGACATGAAAATTTATGAGAGAAAAAATAATGAGCTTTTAAGACAGAGAAGTAAATAAAAGTTTTATAAATTTGACAAAGTTTATACTAAAAGAATTTTTTATAATCAGAGGAAAAGCAAGATGCAGAGTTGGAACGCAAGCTTCAAGAAATGGAAGAAATGTCTCAGAATAGCTTTGACCTGCTTTTGGAGGAAGACAGAAAACTTTACGCTGAAAAAATTTTGACTGTGAAAAGACTACAAAGTAAAATGAAGATGGACCAACTTCGACAAGCAATGTCAACGAATAAATTAAAAGAAATGGTAGGATAAATTTAAAAACATTTGAAATGTTTGTTGAACGAATTTGTGACATTTAAAGAAATCAAAGGATAAAACTGTCAAAGGGAATAAGAGCAAGCTAAGTCAAGCTGCAAGTCGAGATAAGAAAATTAGCAATCAGCCCAAAACGATGAGTGATAAGGAAACGAGTCCAAAAAAGGGAGCAGATAAAAAATCTAGTCCAAAAAAAAGTAAAACAGTTTATCGCGAAAAACTTCACATAACTATTTCTTTCATTTTTAACAGTACATCAGCTTCCAGAGGATATAAATCAAGTGAGAATTGCTATGCAGGATTATCAAAATAATCTAACTGCTATTAAATTAATTTTGGAGGATTGGAATCCTACAATATCTTCTAACATAGTAAGTATAATTTTATGAACTGTACCTACCTAATATTAAAAATTAATTTTTATATTTGTAGGATTTTGTGACACCAAAATCAAAACCAAAATCAAAGTCAGTCAAATCAAAGGACACATCGATAGCAGATGACGATAAAGAGGATGCAAAAGAATTTTTTATATGGATCTTAAGGAGCGATGATCCTTGGAGTAACAGAATGTATGATGTACTGAGTACTCAGGTTGCACAAAATGATTCAATGAAGAAAGCACTGAGTGAGTTACCTAAACAAAATAAAATGTATAATTCTCGATATTAAATATTGAAAATTTTTTTTAATAGCTAACGTCATTCCAACGCCAGATATGCGGCCAAAGGAGTTTTCGATATTGAAATCCAAAAACCGAAGACTCCGACCACTTATATTTGAAGGTAACAAATATTTTTTAAAAATTCTATTCAAAAAACCTCTATCTAATTCTTGTCATTAGACACTTTCAAATTATCAAGTGTATCACAAGTTGAAGAAAATCCTGAATCCGCAATTGCAAGCAGCATAAGCGTACAGGAAAGTCAAACTGAAGGAATAGAAATTCCTTTAGCAGGAAATAGAAGAAAATCAAGAAAATCCAAATCCAAATTTCGTTCAGCGAGCAAAGTGGGACTAGATAATGAACTTTTTAAAAAATTTCCTGAAACAACCGACGAACCAATGAAATCACGATGGATCCTGCAACCAGGGGAATTACAAAAATTCAAAATACAATTTTATCCCAAAACATCAGGAAACTATACGCAGCAATATATTTTCACTGTTGCGGATGCTGAATCCAATCACTTTATACAAGTGGAAGGATTTTGTGATCTTCCACGAATTAGAATGGATCCTGAATATCTATTTACTAAAATTCCGAAGAATAATTTGAATGAATTCAATGATCCAACATTTTTCAAGGATCCTGACACCTTTGATTTTGGCTCACTGCTACTTTCGCGTAAAGACAAAAAGTTCTGTTTCATTTTCAAAGATCATTGCACTAACATTTAAAACCCATAAATTTACTAATGAATTTTGACTCATTAATTTTAAATTTAGACCTCATCGACAAAGCACGATATTCACTCTGGCCAACATTTCAAAAATTGATGCAAACCTTTCAATTTCATTAATGGATGGCAACCACGATGCTTTTAGTTTCAATCCAACGGATCTCTTTATAAGAGTGCGTAATTTTTAAAAAATTTATCAAATTTGCCTAATAAACAATATTTACCATTATCACAGTCTGGTCAGTTGGGAACAATTGATGCTACTGCGACAGCAACCAAATTAGGAACAAACTTTGATAAGCTGATCCTGTGCATCAAGGATAATCCTGCTGTAAACATCATACAGGTAAAAACAGCTTTTGGAAAAAATTGTATCAGTTTGGAAATTTCATAAACTCTATAATTCCAGTTGAGATGCAACGGCACAAATCTGAATATAGAATTAGAAGGAAAACAAGTGTCCTTCGAAAAAATCCTTCTGTACCGAAAGGACACTAGAATCGTCACTATAAAAAATCAATCGTACGTTCCAATTTATTGGCGTATTGTCACACATGTACCTGTTGATGCACAGATAACATTTTCCCCACAAAATGGAATGACGAAACCATTTCAAGATAGCCACGTGGAATTTTGCTATCATGCTCAAACAGTCAGTATCGTTTTAAATTATCTTAAATTAATTCAAATTCAAGATTTTGCATTTCAGGTTGGTGTAATTGAAAAATGTTCCATGACGTTTCATGCTTACATATATCAGGATGACGATGATCCTGTATTCACTGATTCCATCGTTATATCAGGAGAAACGTACGACGTTCAGGTGGACGTGTCTTCAGCGAATCCAATTGATTTTCATTCTGTAAAAGTTGGAGAAAAAACTAAAGGATCATTCACTATAAAAAATAGGGGCCCATATGAAATCAAATTCGTGTAAGAATACATTGTGAGAATTTCTTTTAATTATAATGAATATATTTCTCTTTTTTTTTTATGAAAGGATTCACGTGGAGAAAGATAAAATATTGGAAAAATATAATCCACATCTTTCCAAATATTTGAGAGAGGATTTACTCATAGTACCTGTATCAGGATCTGTTTTACCAGATAAAGGAACCACTGTCCTTGTGAGATATGAAAGTTTTTAAAATAGAATTTTTTACAATATATTCCAATTCCGTGATCCTTAGGTGACGTTTATACCCAGAATTGAAATCGTTCTTAAGGAAGCCCCTTTGCTAATGTGTCATCTTGTTGATACAAACAAATACATTTCTGTTGTTGCTGAACTTCCTTTAACAGTTTCTGTGATTTCCTATTACGTCAGGTAATACAACAGTCACTTTTTGTACATTAAGACAAATGAAAGACAAATCCAATATAATCTATGCATCAGATACGAAATTTATCCATATCCAAAATTGGATTTTGGTTCAATATCGATCTACACGAAGAAGACCATGTGTCTGAATATTAAAAACACCTGCAAATTTCCATTAAAATATTCGATAACAAATATACTGGAAATGCCACTATCGCTCACGCCACTGTTAAAAAAAGATAAAAAATTGTTGAACAAGGACGACGATACGGTATCGAGAAAGGACAAGAAATCTCCAAAAACAGGAAAAACTACAGCAAAACCGTTAGAGAATTTTTCAAATTAAAATTTTCAGTGTCAACCAAAGAAACCCTGTACATGAAATTATCATAATTTTTTAGAATCGAAATTGTTCCCTTCAAGATAGGAGCGTTTACATTTTCAAAAAACGGGGGCGACATTGGCGTCGGTCAAACGGAGACTTTGAGCATTGATTGCTATCCCGAGGAAAATGGCCACCTTCAAGAAACCATCCTTATCAATGTACCTAACAGCGTACCGGAAGAAGAAAATGGCAAAAAGCTTATCTTGAAAGTAAACTCTTGCATTCCCAAAATTGATTTTGATGATCTCCAGTCGATTTTTCACGAGAATCACATAGTTGATAACATTCAGGATTTCATATCTCCTAAAGAGGTATCAAAGTAATTAATATAGGAGCGTTAAGAATTTTCAAACAAATTATTGTCACCCTTATGACAGATGGAAGGCCACACGATATTTGCATGTCAAGAGAAACGTCTCTACTTCCGGCGTGTAAATGTCGCTAAAACTCACAAGACATTTCTCAAACTTTATAATCCTGGAATGGTTCCAGCGGATGTGGAAATAGTAATGCGACTCGGCGAGTTAAATTCCAAAAATGGCAAAAAGGATACTTTCTCAGTAGATCCTTTAAAGGATACAGTGCCACCAATGAATAGTAAACTTTTTACAGTGTCCTTCACGCCCCATTTGATACAGGTATCACTTAGATGTAAAAAAAACCTTTTAGGACTCTAAAACAAATAATTTTTAATAATCCAGACTTACAGTGGAGCTTTTGATATCCTGGTGGAACTTCCACAAATTTTGAAGGGTCCTGGTCTGACCATAAACTTATCAGGGGAAGGATGTGTGCCGGAAGTCGTCCTTCTACATCCTGTGCCACATTCCAAAAGAGAAACAGCCATTATTAATTTTGGCAGGATTCTCATGCGTGAGTCAGCATGTAAACCGTTGGAGTTTCAAAACGTCGGTTCCGTAGAGGCCAGGATAATTATTGAAGTGCACGGAGATCCTGAATCCTTATACACAATAGAATATCCTCAGCCTACTGCACAGTCGACAAAGCTCTGGGATTTTCCTGATGGTACAAAATAAATAAATTATTAACACAATGTTCAGTTAGAATTTCCTTGTAGTATATTAACATCAATTTCAGGATCCACTGATCACTGTACGATTTGTCGTTTGATACCTGATCAATCAGCAAGGATCAATGTAGCATTTTCCCCAAAGGACGTTGGAAAGTTTGAGGGTCAAATTAAACTTTTTATCATTGACAATCCATATGAGAATATATTAGTGGATCTACGCGGTGAAGGATACATGGAAATTATTGTTTTGGAAGGACTTGAATTATCTGATACGCATGAAATCCTGCCTACAAAAATAAATTCTTTGGAATATTCCCAAAAATCAAATAAAGGAGCTTCGACAAAGGCACATAAAATAATTTCGCCATCGATTCGTAAGCCCTGTCATTTTACAATTAATGTCCTTCGAAAGACTGTTAGAATTAAAATCCTTCCTTTATTTCTAAGAATCTGCAGTTCACCCTGGACAAGGAAATATTGCTCTGACTTATAAATTGGATTATGGAGCCTGTCACTTGAATAAGATGTACAGATGTAATTTCAGAATATCGAATAGATCAAAGGATCAAAATTTTAGATTTGAATGGTCAGCACATTCCAATTTGGTTTTTACACCTACGACAGGACATTTGATAAGAAACAGTAGCAAGAGCATATTAGCAACATTTCTTGCTAGTGAACCAATTACTTTGACGCAGGTATCCTAAATATTCTGCTGAATTAAATAATTACCTACTATGAATCTGATCCTTTTACAGACAAGTCTGGAGTGTGTTATACATGAAATCCACTTAACAGAATCCCAGGATGACGTTTCCTGGGACGACAGACAAACTAGCGTCCAATGGATTCAAGATAATGAATTTGTTAACGATCAATCAGTTCTTTCGAAAAAAATCCTTCGATCCACGGATGAACCGATTCATGAAATTGTTTCAGGAACCTACAGAATCATTCAAGTTCTGTTAAATGCAATTGCAGGATACTCTGTATATTCCTGCGACGTGTCAGACATTAATTTCAAAGATACCATGATATTTCAAGTAAGATACAATATCCTGGACTTGGAATGTATGAGAAATTTCTAATTCGCTGTTTCACGTAGACAAGGGAACATAAATTCGTCCTCGCGAATCCTGGTATTGTTGATGCAGAATATACTTGGAAAATAACAATGGATGAACAATATCCTATTCGAGTAGAAAGCACAGTAACAGCACTGATTGGAAAAGATAAATCTTACAAGGATTCATATTGCAAGCTAAATTCTAAATCCTTAAGGAACTCTCCCTACGAACAGGATGAAAAGGGCCATGTCCTTTGCAGACCATTACCTTCTAATGGTTAGCAATGCTGAGTAAAACGAATATTTTTTATTTACTCTCTCATCAAATCCTGGATTTATAGAAAAACTCATTGACGTTCAACCAAATAGTCCATCCTATGAGGCCTCTGACCTTTTTAGCAGTACTGCAGCACTGACAGATCGAAGTACAGATAGTTGGTTGGAGGGTGATGTTAGTCCTTTTGAGATAGATCCAAAAAATGGAATCTTGCGAGCAGAACAATCGCAAGAATTCACCCTGAAGTTTTCACCATTGGATGTTTTCGATTACAAAGCCTATCTGAGTTGCAAGTACATGTCCATAGGGTGATTGTAAATGACCTAAAATACAAACTGTAATTAGTACACAATAATATTTCTCTTGCAGTATTGAAAACTTGGATCCAAAATTAAATCCTTTAGATATTCCAATACTGGCCAGAAGCCTGTTGCCATATTGTCATTTTGAGGTGCCTGAAAGCGATTACCTAACAAGTGGCAGAAGAAATCCAGATCGAAAAGGACCGATAATCCTTGAAGAGATAATTCCTGTATGCCAGGACATGCGAGTTATAGAATTCCAAATAATTGGAATTGGAGAGACTCATATGAAGTAAATATCCTGAAAATATCCAGCGACAATCAATTAACTTTTTGATCCCTTTTAGAAAATTTGATATGATCAATCCTACATCGGAGGACTATCAATTTTCCTGGAGAGACATAACATTCAGGAATTCTGAAGAAGTCCCATATTTTCATTGTCAAGTAACAGAAGGTCTTGCGCAAAGAGGAAAGAGAACGAGTCTGGCATTTACTTTTTTGGCAGAAGATATTGGAGTATTTGAATCCTTTTGGTCCTTTACAATTAAAAAATATAATCTAGAAACAATATTCTTGCTAGTAGCAACAGTCACAGAACCATCAGTACACAAACTGCCATTGCATCTCAGAATGAAACCAACTATAGTTGGTAAATAGTCTTTGATAATTACAAAGAAGAATGTGAAGGAAAATTAATGTCTGTAATTTTCTATACTCATCAATTTAACAGGAATGAAAGTCGTAGATAGGATAACAATAGTGAACAACGAATCCTTTCCTTTATCCTTTCGCATCTTGTCAGATTCACTTTATTCAGCAGGACGACTACAGAATTTAACAGTGCAACCAATGTCTGGTGTCCTGCAAGCAAACAGCGAGAAAGATCTAGTGTAAAACTAATAATACACGTAATTCATCATTGATCCTTAATATATGCAAATAATTTTTCAGTGTTGAATTCCTTCCAAGAGTCTCAGGATGTTCAGATTTTACAGTTCAGTGTAAGATTAAAAAGATGAAGGATCCTTTGACAATTCTTATTACAACGACAGCCTATAATATTAAACCAATAGTTTCCTGTGTGGATCAGAGTGGAAAAGTTCAAGAAATTAATCCTGATCAAGAGAACTGTGTCGACTTTGGCAAAGTAAAGTTTATTCTTGAAACTCATGTTACGATCATTAAAAAAATTTTTTTCCAACAGGTTATATTAAAAATACCAATAGTTTTCAAAATCGAGATCACTAACCATGAAAATATGACATTTTATTATTGCTGGGATCTTGGTAAAGATCCTCAGATTTTACAAAAAGACACCTACAAGATTACAATTAGTCATAAGCAAGGATATGTCACCAGCCAATCGAAGTCATCTTGTACATTGACAATAACTCCAACAAAAAAATCTAAGATTGAACATAGTATTATTTTAAATGTAATTTCCTTTAATTTCCCTAAATCTGTTTCCTTGAATATTTATATATTCAACTAAATTTACAGGTGAACAGAGGTCCTTCTTACAAGTTGATACTTAAAGGATCTGCAAAGCTGTCATCCTACGAATTTAATTTTAATAAATATGATTTCGGACCGCGTTACGTTCTATCACAAAATCCAAATTCATATAGCTGCGAATTAAAATTCACAAATTTTGAAGAAACGTCCTGCGTGTAAGCATCAATATTAATGATTAATGATCCCGATCAATTAAGTCAATGAAGAGAAACTTAAAAGTTGACATGTCTGCATTCTCTTTAGGGTGGAGTGCAAGTTCAAAGACCTTCCTCACATGTTTGCAAAGATTGACCAGCTGGATCGTGCAGTCCCACCAAAATCAACAGTTAGCATAACAATATTTTTTCAACCGCTGGAAGAGACTCGTTACTGTGAAATTTTGACTTTCCAAATTAATTCCATTATCAAAAAGGAAGTCGTTATTACTGGCGAAGGGATTCTGTACAAGGTGTGGAAAATGAATACAGATAATAGTATCAAAACCAATAAACTCATAACATTGAAAAAATTCATTTAGATATCACTGATAAATCCAAGGGACAAATTCATAACATTGGGAAATTTGCAAATTGGCAAAAGTGTTATTAAAAAAATTCCAGTGGTGAACAAAGGTCGGGCACCTGTACATGTGACATTTGACCTCATTGGAAAATTATTTAATTATGAGAAACAGTATCCAGATGGATCTTGTTCAACAGAACAAAAAATGCAAATAATACCACAAGAGCGTATAGAACCACTAAAAGATGTTAAAAAACCAATATGGTCGCTACCAGAAATTTTGAACATAGAGCCTTCTTCAGCAGTCATATTAGAACCTAACAGACAAACGGAAGTGATCCTGAAATTCTCTCCAACCGAAAGGATGAAACCCTTCAAAGATAAAATAGGTGTAAAAATAGATTCCACTGTTATACCTTTGTTCATCATTCAAGGAAGTTGCATGGGAGCAGAATTTCAGCTCGACCGGAAGTATGTATCATTTGGAACAATAGTTCGAGGAAGCAAATCCGAAATCAGAGTAATGTTGTACAATACAGGGGACCTAGGATCAAAGTAAATGAATTAAATAATTTAATACCATGAGACCAGATATTTATATCAATATTAATGTGTCATTTATAGATTCAAATGGAATATAGATAAATTGAAACCACACTTTGACCTTTCCCCTATAACCGGATACTGTTCTCCTGGAATGGATGTCATTTTTACATCTACTTTTCATCCGACATTACTGGCTAATAATCTTGAATCAGAGGTAAATCCTGATGGCGCTGCAAATGAATTTATAATTAATCTGAATTATTGATGTGTTCAAGGCTACCATTGATATAGAAAAATATGGCCGACTGAATCTAAGAATGTCTGGCAGCTCCTGCAAAATTCCTGAACCTCTTGATACTCTAAGATTCTCTGTAGAGGTGCGCGAGAGCCAAAAGAAATTTTTGAGCATAGCAAATGACACAAATGAAAATTGGATCATCAGACCGATTCTTACCGGAAGTTACTTTACTGCTGAAGACTTTACAGTTCCAGCTAAAAAAACCACAGCCTGCATCATCACATACGAACCCTTAATCAGTGCCAAAGAAGATAAACCACATAAAGTTAGTATTCTTTTTTACGGGTTGAACTTAATTTCTAATTTAATTTTTAATTCTTGTTTACCTCTTTTTCGAATTTAATTTCTTATAGGCTACCATAATTTTTGAATTACCAGAAGGAAAACCGCCAATGGTTTATGAACTCTTAGGCAGTACACTTCCGCCAAGAGTATTAGCAAGTTTTACTCGGCAATTTCCAGCTAAAACGAAGTTTGTTGAACTCCTTCCGGTTTACAATTGGTTGAACAGACAAGAATCTTATGACTGTAAATACGAGTCAATAGGCGATCTCAAGGTTTGCATAAGAAAAAGAGAGAATAAACTAACACAGATTTGAATTAAAACTAATTTTTTTCCAACAGGCAGATCCTGTTTACACTTTTACCGGAAATACGAAATTGGATGTACCTGCCAATGGACAACGTGATTATAGAGCTGTTTTTCATTGTTACAAAGAAGCGAATTTTCATTTTCGGGTTTGTGTACAAAATTATATAAATTTTCTCGAACTTCAACGATACTTATTGTAGGTAACTTTTACAAACATTGAGGGAGAGTACCAATTCTATGAACTTCTGTATAAAGTAACGAAACCAGAAATTTTGGAATCAATAAAAATGAGTACCGCAGTGCGCACGAAAAAGTGTCACAGTTTGCAATTAGATAATCCCTTAAAAGACCCAATAACGTATACAGCAACTTGTTCTCGGTTGGACATAATAATTCACGGTATTCCGAAAACTGTACAAGCTCAGTCCAGCGTAAGTTTAAAAAAAAAAGTAAATTGTGTTAATGCTTTTTGATAAAAATCAAATATTGATTATCTAGGATAATATCGATATTGAATTCTATCCGATGCTGGTAACAGACACTGTTACAAGATTGGATTTAAATTCCATGGAACTAGGAATATTTCCATACGAATTAAAGTTAAAGGCGACACCACCACTGCCTGAAAAATTAATTCAAATTTCCGCCAATTTGGGAAACTCAACGACTTTTACGATTCCCATAAAAAATCACAGTAAAAGAACAGCTGATTTTGCGATCAAGGTAAATCTCGAGCCATAATTTTATTATTTGATTATGATTATCTACTAATTATTTCCAGGTGGATAATAATTCTTTTTCTTGTGATAAAACAATAACAATAGCAGGACTCAAAGAGGGACACTTAAATGTGACATATGAGCCAAGCGATTTGGAAAGCGTTTCAGCGAATTTGACAGCAGCTTCCGAAATAACTGGAAATTATACGTATGTTTAGAATAATCCTAATAAATAAAAACAGTCAAAAGCATTCTACTACCTAAAATCCTAGATATCCAATCGTGGGAACCTGTCAACTTCCCAAGCCACAGGGACCTTTCATGCTAAAGCGAGGAATCCCAGTAAATATCTCGTTCAAGAATATATTTAAAGATACTAAAACCTTTGAATTTATCCCGGATGTACCTGACTTCACCACGAAAACATCCGAAGAGACAGTACGCTCGAAGAAAGTAAGCATGTCAAAGCCCCCCCAAGAATCTCACTGAACATTGTTTAACCTCACTTTCTGAAATTATGCATTCGACTAAATATTTCAGACTACAAGCATAACAGTATATTATAAAAACTCACCAACCACTCAAGACGATTCCATAGACGAGTATCCAGTCACTGGAAAACTTCTGGTGTCCTGCACAGATCCTGCGTTATCCCACATTAACTGGATCTTCTATCTGAGAGGATCAAACGAGTGACTGTACGGAAAAGGTTTGAAAATAAGAAAATAAAAAATGGTGTATCCGTTCTCTTTATGTAGGAAATATAAATTGCTATACATACATAAACAAAATTTCGGTACACTGTAGAAAAGTGTACCTACTGGATTAATAATAGTACGATCATTAATTAGTTACTTCTTTTAATTCACGAGCGGTGCAAAAGACGCGCGTCTCCCCGATAAGTCGGCGGCCATCTTGTCGTATTCGAATTAATTCGTTAATCAGTGATTATCGTTATGAATAATAAATTAAACTTCCGCGACACTCATTTCTTATTCGTTCTCTTTTCGTTTAAAATCCCATTCATCCGCCTCCTCGTTTTTTTTTTATTCTTACAAAGGGTACACGTAAACGCGTATGTATACATATATATACCAGTTGTTCTATTAAATCTATAATATATATATATTTTTTTTTCGTAAATTGGTATGATTTTTGGATTAGAACACTGTAACAGCATATACGCATAATACGTGGACAGTATATAAACATTTTGTACGTATTTATATATATATATATATATATATATATATACTGGCTACGTGTACGAGTATATTGTATTTCTTTTTTTCATTTTATTAATCATTCATTAAATATACATATAGTCTCATCATGTCCAATAGACATTTAACGCGTGCCACGGGCGAATCGCTTATATATAATATATAACGCCCATATATATTATGGGCCTTGTCGATCATTAAAAATGGCGACATCTCAACGTGAGTCTCGCCGCGTCCTAAAATCTCGACTGAATTTTCAGGAGTAAAACACTTCAAAAGCTCAGGAAGGAAGGTAGTAAATATTTTGAAAATTAAGAAAATGAAGTCCCATAAGAGATCATTAAATATAAATTATTCATCGTTCGCTTTTCCCTTATTTTCTTTTCGCTCTGTCTCGCGATTAATTGTACTACATTTTTTTTTTCATTTATCGACAAGACGAGCGAAACCAAAAGAAAAAAACCACGAAATACAAAAACAACGACACCACGACGTACGTGAAACGTAAGTCAATTTCATTTATTATATTACTCCTTCTATTTTCATATTTAAGTATTTCCCGATCGCGACAATAAGATTGAAAAGAGTGCTGGCATTAATTGGGCCTCTCGATATGAATAACGAAATTAAGAATAATTAATAATAATCATAAACGATAATTGTGGTAGCAATAGTAATGATAATAATAATAGAAAACCTCTTAAGAATGCTGTCAAAAGAAAAAAAATATACATATACACAGTTATCGGTAAGTACATGACGCGGGATTCGAAAATTAAGGAAAATTTTTTGGCAGAATAAAGATAAAACATATCACGAAGAGTTAAGAAGACGAGAAAAAATGTATATAATACCAATCAACATCAAACGTTGTTTCCGAAGTCATTCCGTATGGATTAAATTTTTCATTATATTAAAAACAAAAAAACAGGATTTTGTCAGTGCCCATCCGGTTCCTCCTCGCTCAAATATATGTTATCCCCCTCACACCGCCACGTGGCTTCGTACGTTCTCCACAAATATTTTATGTACAAATAAATCACTCTGAAATACGTTAATAACATCTATATAAACTCTCTTAAGCATTATCAACAAAATACTGAAAAAATAATATATACAGAGGAGAGGAGGAATGGCCAAGTGGGCGCTAGCGTGCATTAATTCAAAATGCGTCACGTTTGATTCATTTAATCCCAATTGTCCCTTCCCATCCCTCCCCCCATCACTCTGTCACCGTGCTGTTGCTAATTTTTGTATCATTTATACGCATAATAATTCACTATCATTACGCTGCGCTCCGTTTAACCTTTTAACTACCAAAAAAGATCCCTATGTTTCACTAGGTGTACGCCAGATGGCGCCATGGTTGCTAAAAGGCTAATTCACAAGTGTCTTTCATTCGTAGGAAACACGTACGCATGAGGTGTACTATTGTACGAGTTTACAACAATGAGAATTAAGTTATCGGATATGTAATCCGAGCCAATAGTGATAATAGAGTAGTAGTAGTAGTAGTAATAATAATAAGGACCCAAAATGGTCTTGAGGTACTCTCCTTCTCTCTCTCTCTCTCTCTTTCTTAATCACTCTTACACGTTCAGACACACCCTCTCTCTCTCTCTCTTTTTCTCGTAAATTATTAACTAATTGCCAAAAAATTCTTTTTAGTAACTCACAAATCACACCATTGTAAAAAGTATACGAAAGTGACGCCATCCTTTTTAAAAATTTGTTTAGGTATTAGAGAATCGAATATGTGAGAAAAACAAGGCAGTAAATTTCGATTATTGCCGTGAGTGAACACGGAACGGTTCGTGTCTCTCTCTTTCTCTCTCTTTTAAAAGACCCAATTAATAAACATAATGGGTAAACGCACACGTCGCAATAGTCATAGAAAAATTTGATTATTAATTAGAAAAATCGTGGATTCAGTCTGACGTGCGAATTGGACATTTGCAATAAAATTACAGCTCAGTCGCATATATTCTGCTTATCAATGAAAATTTTTTAAGTATACACCGATTCATAGAAAATTTCGAAATAATCGAAAACTGTCTTTTTCCTCTTTTTTGTTTTTGGTTTTCGTCCAACGCAAATCCCAATTGCAATAAATCTCACGCTCGCGTATACCTATACACTACATAATTCCCTCGATGGTCCTTGATGGGTTTTCCATTATATATATATATATTTTTACTTTTTTCAATAATTTCCGTATCTCCTTTTTTCTTCATATCTCTCATCCTCGTTATTATTCGCATAAAAAGTGTTGCACCGCGACACAGTAACGGTAGCCAGCCCGTCACTGTACTAAAAGTTAGCATCACGTGATTGATTGATCGACGAATTAAATTTGAACAAAATAATAGAAATGGTCCAAAATATATATATATATATATACACACACACATACCACACATTCATATATACATATATAGAAAATTAGAAAAAAAGAAATCGGCCGTGCGTCAAATAAAAACGTTACACAAAGAATCTACCTGACCAAATCGTCAATTAAATATGTTCTATACAGTATATATATATATTGTATATATATCTAAATATACATATAGATATACCAGAACCACGAGGTTTAAACATTTACAATGTTTTGCTCGCTCATTGTTATTAATTACATAATTTTTCCATTCGCTTCTCTTCCTATCGACTCTTTGTGTATATATACATTTTCTTCGTTTCTCCACATATACTTCACTCTCAAAAGCACATACGCACGTTATCCACACACATTGTATTATTATATAATGATAATATTAACAGCAACACATCCAGCGCTAAGCGCTACCATAAGGTGGAACCAGACAGATACTGAGTTTCTATTATGTACCTCATTGTTTAGTACAATATTAATTTCTTCTTTTTTTTTTTTAATTCATAATTATGTATTATCATTCTATACCCTCTTTGTACTAACACGAGTATCGAGCTAGTTGTCGATAGGCGGATGGTTAATGCAATGACAGGAAACGTCAAATCTCTTTTTAAAGGTACAACCGGATGTTCTCTTTTGTCAAATTAACTCCCAGTAACATTTACAATTAATTCAATAATCTGTACCTTTAAAATGATTCCAGACGATTCCCAAGTTCATTCGCTTGTTCGATACATCATTTTTCTTTCTCTTTGTACGTGACGCGTCCATCCGATTTAAGTTCACGGTGCAGACGCGACGGCGCTGCGAGCGCTTGTAAAAGAAAATCTGACCGCTAGAAAATTTCTTTTTCATGCCCTCCTTTTTCTTCGTACACTCGGCGTCATTAATGCCTGGACTTATCGATTGAGTTCGTCCATTTAAATGACACGAGTGGGACAGAGACAAAAATAGGTTTAGAGGTCCCAAGCATTAATGACACTGAGTGCACATAGCGCCAAAGTACACAGCAAAGTAACTTTAAAGTTATCTTAGTACATCGCTCTTATTATATACATATATACGTTTATCTTATAAATTGGATACGTATATCCAGCAACGAGTATCCCTCCGATTTAAAGAGACGTCGTAGAACGTTTCGAGTGTACCGGATGTCAAAAATATTATGCTTCCCATGTCTTCCGCTTCGGAAGAAACGAATAACAGACAAACAAGACTCGAATCCGATTGAAACTGAAAACGTATTGGAAATCGTTACATCAAATTTTATATTCATTTTTGAAACTCGGTATAAGATATATATATATATATGTTTCTGAATTTGTTACTCTCTGTTATTCAAAGACACGGTATTCGCGACGCGTGTACTAGCTACTAATTTATACTTAAAATTGTTATTATCGTGACGATTACGTCAGAACATTATTCCTATCGTATGCACGGACTACTAGTTTCTTTAAGCGTAACATAAGATACACGAATAACGACCCTGCAAATGTTTTGTGTCACCTCGCTTTAATAACGGTCACATGTACAATCCCTAAAGACGGTTTTGTTTTCGTTTTTCTTTTTCTCTTAAATTATGACTACATCTCGAAATTCACTGGCAGCGCTACCAATCATGCTTATGTCCCTGCTTACCTACGTACAAAGAGTGTAATATAACCATGCTCGCAGTAAATTTCAAAATGTACCCAACACGCGTGTATCGTATTCCGCAGACGCTGGGAGCAACTCGCGTGCTCGAGTACCAACGTGAAAAAAAAAATCTAAATACGCAATGCGGTACAGAATGCGGAAACCAATTAACATAATTGTTCCCAGTAGTTTCGTTGAGACGAGGGGCGAGAAAAAAAGTCCCACTGAAAAACGAGATACGAATTTGACATTGTTTTTTTTTTTTTTTTTCAAAATTATATTGCCTCCGTTCATTCTCGTTTAACATGTGAGACTGTAGGTACTGCGTTATTATGCGATAGATGTGTATACATATATATATGTATATATAGATATATAATTTCGGCAACGCGTGGTCGAAAATAAATAAATATGTATGATTTTTCGATGGAAAAGATTGTATTAAAAGTTCATGACCGCGAATGGGGTCGTTACTGATATAGACTAAGAGGATAAAGAAAAAGAAGAGAATATAATGAAAAACGTATGAGGACCTCGGAGTACAATTATACAAATCCAAAATTATTCATTTGAATTATTATGTGTTCCGTGAGAAAGACGTGTAATTACTTATACCGATTAATTCTAGATTATTCGATTTACAACGGGAAGGCTGACAACGCGATGCTTTTGTGAATTATCCATAAACTTTCTAATCTGACGTTTAAACTTATGCTTAAATAGTTGTGTATAGTGTCAACCATCTTTATCTTGCTTGTGGAAAATATATCCATCTTCAAATTCGCCATTTCATGTAGCGACGATACATCGGTTCTAACTGCCTCTTCATATCCTCCAGATCAAGATCCTCGAGATCGTCCAGGTTCGTGTGGACGTCCGTATCTTCCTCCTCTTCTTCTTCTTCTTCGTCCTCTTCATCCTCGTCTGCTTCCCCGTTGACATCATTCGGGACTGCGAAATTTCACAGATCCGTAATCCTTCAGGTTTCTTGTTAATCTCAATATTTTTTAATTTTTATATAATTGCTACTACTATTGATACTACTGCTACTACCACTACTACACAAATCATTCACTACTTGAAATTTGGATATTTATGTACAGCTAGTATAAAGTTACTAGATTGAAAATATTGTTTTTAATGGAAGGCAGAGATATTATTTTGGCATTAGTTGCAAGTTGTGAGCGTGAAAGAGAATAAGTAAAAGAGAGCTAATGAATAAGAAATAGTAAGGTAGAGAGTTATTTTGCAAAGTACATACAGCGACATTCAAATATAGTTTGACGTTCGTGCAGTATCTGATGAAGATATGGATGAAGCATAGCAAAGCATAATAAAGAGAGAGAGAGAAACGCAAATATAAAGTTGAGGCGCTCAAAGGCACATTTATTATATAACAACCGTATACAGAAAGAAAGAAAAAGATAAAGAATAATAAAATGTCTCCAGGTATCAAAGATTTAAAATAATGTTAATTGTGCGCTTTATATAAATACAAAACGGTCAGAGATCCAATAGGCATAGTGTCTATTGGAACAAGTATCTATGTATATCTTGCTTGTGTCAATCCACGTACATTAAATTATTTTTCCTATTCTTTTTTTTTCTTCTCAACATTACATAGCAATCCCTTTCTGAGTAGAAGTAAGGATGGCGGTTTTTTTTCCTTTATCTTCCTGACAAGAAGTTATCATTAAGAAGAAGCGCTAAGCGATGGCTATTATTAATTGGATTAGGCATATAGAGCCGCAATCATTTGATCGATTATTATTTTCTGCTATCTAGTTTTCATTTTAATATGTATATTTATTTTACAGTGAGAAAGCCTCTCTTTAGCGTGTGAGAAATATTCACAGACTGTATGTACATGCTCGCTGGCGAGGCCATTCCCAACAGTTCAGTGTATAAATTATATTCATGCAAGCTTTTAAAACGCAGATATTAAGACGCTTTATACTTTTCAAGAGATAAATAACAAAAAAAACAATAAGATGGCGGAGAAGGCATTTAGAAAAATTTATATGCGCGAAATTAGACTTCTTTTTCATTTTCTGTTCCTTACTGAGGCGAATTACTCACCTCTTGGTACAAGCGGACTTCTCGCTGTCCCTGACCTTTGTACTGAGCTGTTCCTCTGGATCGACTTCCACGTCGGACACCTTATTCTCGGCTATAGTGCATACACTAGTTACCACCATGGTTTTCACTATCTCTACCCGAGTGTGACTCTCGGTTTTAATTAAAGTCTTGCGATCCAGGGTGAAATTAGACTCTTCTATAGGATTCAGACTCTTGACTGGTGACTGTTCTGAAGCCTGGGATAAAGATTTATCAGCTCCTTGTTCAAGCATCTGATCCTTTAGTGAATCTGCGGTAGAGTCTATCCTGGTACCGACTGAGGAACACTCGGAATCAATTCCTGAGTCCACACTCTCCTGGAAGCTTTCCCTAGGTTGTGCTGGACTCTCAGGTACAGGTACGTCTTCGGATATTGAAGCATTCGTCTCCTCAATTCCGGAGTCATGACTGTTTCTATGAACATCCTTAGACTTCTCGATGTAGAGATTGGCAGTTGATGATTTCTTATCCTCAGGAACTCCGCCGAGATTCCCACCCGGGGACGAGAGATCATCTTCCAGAAAGGTCGTATCCGCAGAGATATCCGTCATATTGAATATAAGATCATCTGTGTCGGACCTTTCGAAGACTACAGGTTTCACCATGTCCTCTACCTTATCGACGAGCTTCGTAGAGGTTTGAATATTCGTTTTAAAATCATCCTCGAGGACATTGGATCCTGAGCCCTGAGTCTTCTCCTCGGCCTTAAGGGCGTCGTCTTTAAAACTATCATTTAGCACTTGAGCCACGGAGCATTCAGTTTCTACCAGATCAGCATCCTTGTGATGATCAGAAACGGTCTCCGTGACTTCGCACTTCTTTAATGTATCTACAACACTATCTAGGTTCCGTATATCACGCGGTATTTTACAAGGTGAAGAAGAATGCCTATCACTAGGTGTATTAATACTGTCCGCCTGGCTGCTATCACATATAACTTCCGGTTCACCCACGACCTCTTCGGTCACTTTCTGCTCGTCGCTTATCTCTAGTACTGAATACTCCGGGATATCCATTAGCTTGGGCACACTGCACAGGCTCGTTGGTTTGATATCCGCGAGTGTAACACTATTATTTACAATATCGGAGTCTGTTACTTCCGTCGGTGCGGTCGACTCGTCGCCACTCGTCAACCTGGCGGTTTCTTTTGATTGCACATTTTCAGGTAACGCATGTTGATGATGATCACTAAACCTACTGATTGTTGTCTCGTCCTCCCGCCTTTGACAGGTGGTGGTTGTGTTTTCGTTGTTCTGATTATCAACCAGGACGGATAACCTCCTGAAAGGACTCTGATCCGTACTGGAACGGCTGGTGCAGATTAGATTCCCATTGCAATTAGAGTCCTTCTCGTCTTGAAGAAGCTTCCCGTCCGGTTCCAATTTACATGAGGCGAACACATTGGTCAGGGCTTGGATATTAGACAGCTGTGGCACGCTCATCGACTTCACTGGGTCCTGTTTGATAGGCTGCTGACTGGCGTCCGAGGAGGATCTTTGAAGCGGGGGCTGCGGCGATGATTCCCTACCGCCGGAAGTACCACGACCATCGCGAAGATACTGCTGAAATTTATCACCAAGTGCCACCATACTGTTTACACCGCCCTGAAGAGTATTCTTCATGTCTACTTTATCGACTCCTGTGTTGCAAAAGAGACTTCCTGGATGCTGGAACAAACCAAGGAGTTTCTCCAGACTCGACGTGTGCTTTTGAAGGGATGATTTTCTGGACGTGGAGTTTGCCTCGTTGAAGATGCCATCCGGGTTCTTAACGTCGCCGGAAGGACTCTCACTTTGGTTGCCTGTACGAGACTGACAAGTAGTATCGCTATCATGAGGTTCCTGCATTTCCGGTAAACATTCAGGCTCAATTGAATTAACTTTTGAACTCTCGTTCTTTTTCTCAGTCTCATTATTTATAATATCCTTCACTACGCAACGATTATCCCCAGTCTTCCTAACCCTAACAGTCACATCACTGGTACTATCCGGAACGACTTTTTCTACCGGTACCGTCTCGGACACATCCTCCTCAGCCTTGAACACATCGTCATCACCTTCTTGGTGTTCAGGATCGTCCACTTTGTACTTGAATCCCACGGTGACGTTAGCATTAGTCGAGGCGACGACTGATTTCGGTTTAGCGACAGGATCAGCCAATTTTACCACAGTGACACGGAACCTGGATGATCCAGCAGGGAAGAAACGTGTCGGGGATGATCCTAACGAGGGTGGTGTAATCGGCGATGAGGATGCTGACGAGTTAGTTGAACTCAATGAAGCTTCTGGTACAATGGACACTACGAAGCGACTCCTTGAAGGACTGGGTGTAGGACTGGCCACTGGGGATGGGACAGGACTCGGAGCTGGGGACCGAAGACGACCTCCACTGGTTCGCTTCGGTTCAAGTAACGAACGCCCCGTTCCCTCTGTCAGAATCGGCGGAATGGGCGGAGGAGATCGGGGCAACGTCTGACACGTCAGCGAGATCTTACGGGAGTTCACGCTGGAGAGTCTGCTGCGATGCTGTGGACTCTCGGAGTCCTCGGTGCTGTTATCCGTTGAGCATGGCTCCTCGTTCCTGGTGCAGAAACTCCTGATTTCGGCCACCATGTCCCGGTATTGATGTAGCATCATGTCCTGAAATTTACACGAAATGAATTTCATTATGATCAAATATACTGTATCGGTGAAACTTACAATTTTTACACGAGGTTTGTCGTCCAGGTCTAACTGCGTAACATTGCGATTTATCTTCATAGCCGTTGAAAGTGCTTTAAGCCCAGTACTTTGAATGACGTTATCGCGCAAGTCTATCCTCTGAAATAAAAGTATATCACCAGTGACATATATACAAACATGATGGTTATGTCCTAAAATTATTTAGATCATAGGCGAACCTGTAAGACACGGTTCTCCTCGATTATTTCAGCCAGGGCAATGGCACCCTCGCAAGTTAGGTGAGTCGACTGCATGCCCAATTGAAATAACGTGCGATTCTGTTGCAGGGAATCCTTTATTATAAAGAGCATCTCATTCGTAAGAATGTTCTGACCGATATTCAGAGTCTCCAGCGTCTTGGATCTTGCCTATTGCAGAAAAGATTTGTTAGAACCTTAATTAAGATTTATCAAGATAAATAAAATACTCACTATAACCCTAGAGAAATGTTGAGAGGAATTCTTAGTTAAATGATTATTCCAGAGTACAAGGATACCTAGTCCTTTGCCATCCTTATCATCGTTCAGCTGTTCAATCAAGCCATCCGTAATATGTCCCATGCCTACGTCTTGTATATTATTATTACTGAAAATGAAAAAATAATACATGTTAATAATTTCATTGTTTGTAAAAATTTTCATCACGTGTTATCGAACTCACCTAACATCCAGTAATTGTAAATGATTGTTTGTTCGTAAAAGTGTGCCCAACTGCATGGCATCTTGATGCCCGAGATCATTGTCAGCCAGATAAAGTTCCTTAACGCCGGTGTTGAACTTGAGAGCACCAGCTGGTAAAAATGTAAAGTTGCATAAGCTCGCGAAGCATAGCTTGCAAAATAACATATTTTTATGAAATGATTATTAAAACATAAAGGCAATTCGGTTCAGTCTCGAATAATAATAGGACGACACTTGAAAATACATCAAGAGGTTTAACGATGGTGCAATAACGCGACTAAGTGTCAAGTTATGTAAGTGGCATTAGTTAGGAGAAAATTTTCTCTATGCATCTCGTGTACTGCACCTTACGTAACGTTCCCGGACGCCTTTGCTGGCGCAAGAGGAACAAAGGATCCGTGCATCAAGGAAACTATAAAACGGTTAATCAGTTCGCCTTTAAGATATGCTACGTGTCAAGAGTCTCAGAATGCAGTAGACGTATATCCAAGTTCAGAGTACATTAGAGATCTGCTGTCTTATTAAAAGAATAAATTAAAAAAGAAAAAAACCCAGGGCAAATACCTAGCATGCCAATTGGTTTTCCAGCCAGTCCACAATTTTCCAGCTTTAGAATATGCAGATGTGATCCTAGTCGTAATGCACGGCTGAGTATAGGCATGTGCTGCTCGTTCAGAGTGACATTCTTAGCCTCAAGCTGTTCCAAGCACTGAGTCTAAAGAAGAATCAAAATGGTTATCAAAGTACTACAATGATTATTCTTTCTTAACTCTAGATATTCATACCTTTTTAATCATACGCGAACAAGCCTGCCAACCACGTACACCAATATTTTTATTGCAGGATATGTTGAGATGCGTAGCAGACTCATAATATTCCAGCATATCGAAAAGTGCTACGGAGCTCTGTCAAGAAAGAATTAAATGTAATAAATGGCTATCATCATGAGCTCATTGGAATTCCCATAAACTGGATCAATGCCAATTAATAAAATACCTCATCGTCCAGAGACGTGCCCTCGAGGTCGATCTTGTTGAACTGAACTCTTTTCAGAATTTCCTCCAGTGGCTCGCAGTGGTTCTGCTCCAATGTTTCTCCATTCAGACTCAACTCATGGCAACGTTCCTGATTGATGTCCAATTTCTGAAAGTCAATCGATACTCCCAATTTTTAACAACACCATCATGATACCAGAAATCATTCTCATTCTTCCACTTTTCATGGTAGCAATCACTGACTTCCTTAACGATGAGGATTCACTCGTCTCTCTTTCACTCTCAACCAAAAGTAACGTTACCTGTAACTGCTTTATAACGCTTTCTAGAGGATCCGTGTTGTGCCTTAAGCAGGACTTCTTGTACGTTGATATCAAGTCCTCGCGGCTCACGTTCTCCGCTGAAAAAGAGATTTGGATACTTTGATGAGGAATCAATGGCAAAGACATTTATTTAATTGAAGAACAAACATCTCGTTCTCCCTCTCTCCCTTTTCTCTCTCATAACTTTCTCTTTTTTCTCTCTCTCTCTTTATTAATCCTGAAAAGACATTGGGATGGGTGACTGAAACACTACTCTCCTGTCAGATAAAACTCGTGTATTTCCAAAGGCAATACATATATAAAAAGCGCCGGCCAAGAGACACACTCGTCTCCGTGATAATTTATCAAATTCATATATAAAATAATGTAGCACATTATTGTAGGTTACGTTTATAACTACAATTAAGTAGCAAAGTACTGTGTAACAATCTCGCGATATTCTGAAAAAGAGAGTACCTTATGAACATAATTATTTATTGTACAGGACATTGATTGAAGACGTGAGAAAGGAAGAAGGCGTCGAGATGGTGCTGTCTGAAGTCAGGAATCAAAGTGAGGAACTGAGAAAATAATAATGAAAAGATTCGGAAACTGACAAGGTGTAAGTAAAGAAAGACAGAAAGAAACGGATAGCAAAGTATAATGAGTAAGAATCTGGGAGTGACGAAAACAGCTAGAAGAATTTGGCATTAAAAGTGAAGAAAGGCGAGGTGACGAGCTGACGTAGTTGACGGTCAGACGAGGCCGAAATCAGAGTCGACGAGTGAAGGTGACGAAATTGTTAATGACAGCATAAGTTAGTTACTGAAAGTAAAGTAATGGGAGAAAAATAAAGAAACCTAATGACGGATGGTAGGACGGAAAAAAGAGGGGAGGCCAATGGCCGCGCATCAGCTGAGACGCGAATGTGGCAGCAGTTCAGGTAACATAATAAATACATTATCTTAAGAGGAAGATTCAGGATACATCAATAGATCGCTGTAATGCTCAGAACTCAAAGGGAAGAAAAAGAACACCGAGACAGATACCTATTTTAAAAATAAAAGGTTAAATAAACGAATTCTATCTATCTATCGTACAATGAATTCTATTCGACAGAAATAAAATTCTAAACCAGCGTAAATTGGATTGTCGATGACATATTCTAAGTTTTTTTTAAAAATACCTGAGGAATTGTATTAAATAAAGAGTTATCAGGTGTTATCACCACTGTTAACTTTACTCTCCAGCTGCCTAAAGAAATCCATGGAATAAGAGTTATTTTACTTTTATTTACCAAAAGCGTCAAACACACCCAGTCAATGGACTTTATAGTCGTATACAGATCCGTTATCAGTACGTGTTTATTTTTATTTCTGGTATACACTATCCCCGGCACTAGCTAGATAAGAAGATTCAAAATGTGAACAATATCAATCGGCTTTCCGTGCTCGATGTCGCAAAAACCCACTTACCAGACTTAACATCTGTGACAGGCCAAAAGAAGTACGAAAATTAGCCATTTTTCACAATATCCCTCATTTCTTTCTATAGCTCACTCAAGGTCTACATTTCCATCCAATCCTATAATTAAACAATGACTTAGTAGATCGACAACGCTCATGAATAAAACCATGTACTCTTATCTCCAGAGAGACTCAATCAATCAAATTAAAATCACTGATAAGAAGAGGTCATACATGTTTACCAAACTGCAGCACAGCTGTGCCCGATAGTCAACTACATATTGCCACAGTCTCTGATGCAATAAGCAATAATCACTTATTCCTCTCTCATTTCATTGCACTGCTATGTAAGCACATATTATGTTGTATCAATATCTCTTTACATTAAATATATGCAAAAATAATATGCAACTCTATGCACCGCAGTGTTATATAATGAGAATGGAGCAAGATCTGCAGTAGATAAATACTGAATGACTGGATAAATGGTGAACTTCTGCGCGATACCTTAAAGACAAGGCAAACGATAATAATAATTAAATTAAATACAATGTAAATCACTGATAAAAAGTTATGGCAAGGTCAAATGTAACGCACCTGTCTCATTAACGTAACAATTATAAAATGGTACATCTGGATTAAAAAAGTCACATGAGCCGGATAACAAAATACAATCGTTGTACGGATTATGGCTATCGGATCATCCAGGGTAAAATTGTTTAATCTTCTGGTTGTTTTTCAAAACTGATAAAAGCGTCCAAATAGTTATTGACGGATAAGGATCCACTTGGGACCTATATTACTACTCGATAGCCTGAAACTTCAGAATAAATATATAGTGAGAAATATGACAGTCGCTGAATGCGTTACTCTCACTAAGCTATTGAATACAAATATATATATATATATATACACACAATATACACACGTACGGCAGTGCGTGTATTATATAACATTCGGTTAATGAGCGTGCGACATTCAGCGTAAGCGCGTGTCCACGTTGCCATGAAAAATCAACCTTTTGGCAAGATCGCAACGAGGAACTATTAATAATTTTCTAACATGAGTCAGTATTTCCTTAGGAGCTTAGTGCTCTCGCGCAAACATCCTATTATTAGGCAGGATATGTACCTTTTGACGTGTGACACCTCAGCTTCGTTAAAATGTTGAACGAAATTGATATTTATCACAGATAAGATTGTCGTAAGATCTTTTTCTTTAAGATAAGAAAAGATTTTTTCGAAAGAAAAGAACCTGAAAAGTGGTAAATTGAATGACCTTGTGCCTCTAGATTGACCTTTACATAAAATCCAGATAATTGATCTGAAAACGGGTGGTTTCTGAATTATCTTGGAAATAATTCATATCTATGTGTTTCCTTAATTAGGATATGTATCGTTATGGAAAGATGAGATAAAATAGAGAAAACGAATAAGGAAAATAGAAGCTCGGCCGAGGATACCGATTGCAAAATGTACCAAGGTGTTATATACTTTGACACGGTGTCAAACTTAAAATTAGTATACGTTAACGATTGCGTGATCTTCAGACATTCTTCGAGAGAGTGGTCTTCTAAAAAAAACACCCTGACAGCCGAGTGACAGTATACATATGACAGCGAGTACTCCTGCCCGGTTGTCTGGCAAGACGGTCAATTTATGCTCTAGTTTAATCAAACAATTCTTAAATTCTTAGTCGAGTTGTCTTGGCAATATCTACTTGTAATCTTTAAGATCATCTAATCTTTTGCGTAACTGGCATAGAGATCAGTCTTTTTTTATTATTATAAAACAATTAAGAGAATTGAATAACATTTTTATCAAGTGATTCTCTTCAGTTTTATTCCTTTTTAAGTGTACTATTGGCTTCTCAAGAATATTTTGTTGGGATACACACAGATATATGTACTTTGATGATCGATGAGGAATGGAACAGAAATGGAAGAGGACGGCTAAAAGATATATGTCTGAGGCAACATGATCCTAATCTTGACACTACTATGAAGACAGATATTGACGTGTTAAATAAGCAAAAGATTCCATAGACCATAGATAGGAGCTTTTCAAATGTCTCATGCAAACGAATCTTGTTGGCATGATGTAAAATGAATGTTAAATACTCAAGATATTATTTCATGTCCAGAGGCATGGAAAGAAATTCAAGGGGGCTTGAATTTTAAAAGAAATCAGGAAAATAGAGATAATTATTTTGCACAATTGTTGAGTATAACGTCAGAAACAGAAAGAAAGAGTGAAGAAAAAAGCACCTTGAAAGAGAGACAATAATAATTAAAGGCAGGCCAAGGATAAATAGCAATAACAATGTATCTAGAGTCATTAGAGCCTCTGTAGAGCTCTCTAGATCTTGAATCTACGAAGCGGACCTGGTGCCATCGCCTTACCGCACATCGGTTGAACCCTGCCACAAAATAGTTTGTGGTTAATGGAGCTTCAACAGAGCAATCGAAAGAGGAGATTAGTCATTGTACATATGTGGAGTAATGAAAGCATTTCAACGCGGATCTAAATCATCACAGTGGACATTGGCTAATGGATTAGGAAGGATATAAGGATGTACATACATAATGATAATAGTGATCGTTCAGTCATCGATTCTGTGACAATGTATCAGCATATCTATCAAGGGAATCTGCTGTTAAGTTCATCAATGGCATCAGATTCTGATTGACCTTGATTTTCAGCGTGCATGATTGTGTGAATAATTGTTGGCTGCTCCATGAAAATTCCAATGTAGACAAAACTGAGAATTCCAGTCCCATCCGAGGCTCTTGGAGTCAATGCATCCAGGAGATGCCATATAATCTTTAATATACAAATCATAGTGGAATGTTCTCAGATGTGTACTTACCATGTTCCCAGGGATTGGCTGGCTCCAGGTACCCAGTGACGAGGTGAGTGTCGTTTGAAGGAAAGCTGACCCTCCTGGGCGGCCATTTTTTACGAAATGCCAGGGCACTCCTGACCTGCTTGCCGTCTATCCAAACATAAGGAGACGACGGTGCTAAGCCTGTACCAAATCGCGGACGTCGTCCTGTATACGTAGACGTCGGCGGTGGCGGTGAGGCGATCGTTGTCTCGGATGTTTCTACTGTTGCTGCACCTTCTGATGACGATGTCGTAGGGACAGAGGTCAACGTCGCGTCCGACGTCGTAGATGAGGCAGAGGATGAGACCTTATCTTCCTCGACATTATCCAAAGTCGCCGTAGTCGTAGTGATTGTAGTCGTCGTCGTCGTCGTCGTCGTTGTGGTCGTCGTCGACGGCGGCGAAATCTCGCTATTTACTCCCTCGCTCATATTCTCCATGAAGCCGCTCGCATATTTACTACTAGGGTGTCTTTCGCGCTCTTTACAAATTTTTCTTCCACAGGGAACGTTCAAGTTTCACTTGGCTCTCTCACGCAATGAATACCGCCACTTGTCAAACCGCCCATCAAAAACGGCCACTACTACTCAGCTTGGCCGACGCCATCTTTGTTGCCGTCCCGAGCCAAGGCGACGACAAACATCTGTTCGACCTGAGACGACCGAGTGGAGGCGCCCGTTATACTTTAAGCTTCGTTTGCATTACTTTTATTGTACCTTGCGCAATACCGACTTTTCACATTCTCATGTGTCCTTCGGGCGACACTCGAACAGACCGATTGCGCGATCTTCGACACAATCAAGGAACTATAACAGATTTTCCTACTACTTCTCTTTACCGTTTTGCTTCTATGACTTCTGCCTGATTTCTCGAAATTACAAAATTCATTTAAGTAAACGGCCCAGTTAATGACACTTTAAGGGCGGCCGTGTCGGATTTTTGAAAACTAAAGGTTTCAATAAGTGCGTTAAAGCCCTCCGAATGAGATTCATCTATTATACAAGTGAAAAAAATAAGGTTTATAAATTAAAATCATTGTTTTAATAGCGCTTCTCTGCTGCCGAAGTTAAAATTATGCCGCCGAGATCACAATCTGGAACACGGTCAGTCATTGGGCCGTTTACCTTACTTTTTGGGAAAAGGAATGGTATTGAATAATAATAATAACGCAATAATGCTCATTGTAGGATAATGCGACACGTATTATGTATTATCAGTTATCACGAATTACATGGTAGTACAAATACATGACGAATTGACCCAGTATCTGAGGAATCATTTATGAATTAGGATTAGCGTTGGGTCCGCGACGACGTCCAAAGGTTTGTACGACGTTGACGAATCTGCGGTTATACTGTATGCGCCTCTTTGCACGGCCAGTCTTCTTCTTGCTCTTCTCTTGTTTCTCAACCTGGAAATAGAGTTGTTTTTTAAATAAATTTCAATATCTTAAGGGCAACATTTGTATGATTTTAATATATGTAGCAGAGCAGTTGATCGTATGCAGGAAATCAGTTACACATAATATTCAACACCAATCTACAGTGCAAATTTTTATGGCACCGTTCTTTTTCTACAATCTAATGGATTCGGATCGTAGCTTAGATCATTCAGTGCAGAAACTTTCATTAACAAGAAAACTTTAGTTAAAAAAATGTTGAATATATTCTCACCTTCGGTGTCTGCCCCTTTACTTTACCAGCACGAGCCAAGGAACCGTGCACCTTACCTAGAAATAAATAAGTGATAATGAAGGTAAAAAAAAACTTAATAATTTGTTGTGGATTGATGAAAGGCTATGACAAGAAGTAAATCACAGTCTCACTTTAATTCACATTGATTTTGCATTGTTTCTTATTTCATTGAATAAATGATCAATGAACAGTTTAAAGAATCAATGCCATTTATTATTACGAACTTACCTCCAAGCAAGGGAACAGTCAGTTCAAGGGTGTCGCTGGAGAGCTCAGATACATTAGTATCATCGGAGAGTATAGCACCTCCGCAAGAAAGGCTAAATTCTGTGCTTCCATTTTCAAGAATTGCAAGCTGTGACTATCAAACAATAATTATTGGAAAATATATTAGAAATATAGTCATTATATAATTTTACACAGAAAAACAAATATATTTAAATTAGAAACAATGTATCAAATCTATGAAAAGACAAAAGCTAGAAAGACATTTTGTCTCCCTGAGACCTGCATTTTATTCTAGCATTATTGCTCATACCAGCAGCGCGTGTAACAACTGCTGGCTTATCATTATAATGCACTTACTGTGAATTACTGAAAATATACTGGTATCATATTAATAACAATTTCTTAAAATGAACTTTCTAGTTCCAGTAAAATCCGTGATAATTAACTAATCTGACTAGTGTCAAACATTAAAAATTTTTACCTTGATTTGTGCGATGGTCTCATTACCCTGGCACTCGATAATGTGACTTTCCTGTCCCCGAATATGGAGCTGCATCTTGTCTAGCTTTTCTGTAAAACAAAATACGAAACTTAATAGACACACGATGTTGCCAACGTCCCATGTCCATGCCATGATCACGTGGGTTTACTAAAAATCCCGATTTCTCCCAATTTCAATCGTTTTATGAATTCTTCAATATCAAACATAGCCAATTATAATATTCCACAACGCATTAAACATATTCTAGCACGGAAGATTATAAATAAATCACAAATACTCATAACAGCAACACCGAACCTCACCTCGACTTGGTATCTCACGACGTAAAGAAGGAAACCGGAAGTTCTGACTAACAGCAAGTCAAAAGAGTATTAACGCCCATTTTAAAAAATCACACAAAAATGTTCAGCAAATATCTAAGAACTATCCTCGTCAAAAAATAATTAGTAACAACAAAAAACAAACATTGTATGCAAAAATAAGCACCGATAATATAAAATTTATAAGTAAAGTGTGGGAAAGTGGCGCAAATTTGAAGTCCTGCTTAACTCCAAAACAAATCTCATTAGGTTCTTAAAATATCTATAAACACAATTTAACTGCGCATTCAAACCTTTGATAAACTCTATTGATAAATCTTATATGAACTAATAATTCTCGGTCAAAACTAGGAACGCACTATTGTCTTGAATTTGGAGTTATATGCGGTAATGTGATGTACTTTACTCCGGAACCGGTGTCCATAATGATGTATTGAAATGGCCGTTTCCTATTGGCTGTAATGTGTGATGATGTCACGACATGCGGAGGAGCAGCTGATCTGCCGTGTGGACTGTGGCGTGTCCGCTTTAGTGTGCTTCAGTCAGCTTTAGTACAAAGAGCAGTTTGTACAACTATGACAGTCTTATTCAAGAGGAGCTCGTGAATTCAGCGCAGGTTATTCCTGTGATTATGTGGTGTTGTACAGCAGGAAACAAGGAACGAGATGACTGCGATACTACGGATAATCTTAGCGCTATTGCACCTAGTGCACACGCTTCATCGTGCCGTTATAAAGGGATGGGCCTACATGCAAACAGCATATTTTAAACTTCGCCACGGAGAGAACAACCGGGAAGAATTGGATGTACTCTTTGAGAGCGTTATTAAAATGGAAAAATTACCTCGTCATCTTGTCATCGTCCTCGGCCGCGAGGAACCGTCCTTTCTCGATCTTATTCGGATCATTGGATGGTGTGTTGCTACCGGGATTTCTTGCGTCAGCTTCTATGATCACAAGGGTAAGGATTTGCTCATTGAATTACATTTACCTTTATGACATTAGAAACAGAATTTAAGGAATTAGTTATATCGGCATGTATTGTATTTTACTTGTTCTTAGAATAATCTGTAGTATTTTCATTGCTCTCCTTGCCTTGTTTAATTGACTGTACAATATATATTTATTAATAAATTTTAAACCTTCATTTACAAATTGTTTATCATGCCAGCTGATTGGAAGCAAAATTTTTATTTACTGTATGGCTAACAAGCTGTCACTTATTTTATTTGATGTAGCATGTGATTGTTAAAATAGATAAATAAAGCCATGTTTGCATAACTGTTTCTAATTATCATATATCAATAGTTTTGCTCTGACACAAGAAAAGTGTTTCATATTTGTTACAGGAGTGATACGCAATAATGAAAGTACTTTTTGGAGGGAACTGACTAGTTTACGGCCTGACCTCATAAGCTTAATTGATTGGACTCCTAGTTGTCCTGTGAAGGCCATACAAAATGCACTTAACGGTATATTAAAAAGCACTATAGAATTCCTGTCCATGTCTTAAGTTTTTAATAAAATGAAACTTTTGAAACAGGTACAAAGCATAAAACACGTGTACAAATCCTCTCCTATTCTGATGGCAAAGGAGAGATAGTATCGTTAACACAGAACCTATCCAAGGCAGTTACATTAGGAGTTCTAAAACTGGAAGAAATTACAACAGAATTTCTAGATGAAAAATTGGATCTTGGTGGCATATCTCATCCAGATGTTGCCTTAATATGCGGAAGCACTTATTCCACTTACGGTCTTCTACCTTGGCACATACGGACCACAGAGTTCTTGTAAGTCTTTAAATCCCATTAATTCCTCTGCTGAATGAATAGTAGTAAACAAAGATAGTTACTGCAATTATATAATTATAATTTATTGTTCGCAGCCTTTTGCCAACACATCATAATGTGTCTGTGAAAATCTTTGTGAGTCTGTTGGAGAAATTTGCCCGGTGTGAACAACGTTATGGAAAGTGAGTGTTTTCAAGTGAACCAAAAAAAAGAAAATGATAAGGATAATTTTGAATGAATAATGGATAAACGTTTAAATAGAAATTAATGCAAGAGAGTCCACTCTCTTTGTCGTTTACCATGCAGAGTTTTTGTTCGTTCCGGGCGTTCATAAGTGTAGCTGGAAATTCCAGGCCTCGCGAAACAAAGACTGAATCCCGAATAGTTTTCGCAAGCGACTGGTTTACATATGTAAATATTACAAAATGCCACCGTATAATTCCTTATTTACGTTTTCCAAACGACCCTTTTATAATAATAAATTATCTATGTGGTTACAACCCACCCATAGTTCTCCAGGCAAATAGGGAACCGTGTAATCAAACCACTTAAATGAAATGCACGTGGAATTTTACATTAATTTAATTAAATATTAGTGAATTACAGGACCCATTAGACAATGTCATAGACATCTACATTGAAAACTTTGCATTCTATTATTCTTCGTTGTTTCTTAAATTTTTCAAAGGACTATGTACTATAATTATTTGTTGGGTTTGTATTGCTGTTTCTATCGTCTTGGATTATCTACAATTACATTTATTCTCATTGTGCTGTGATTTAATTAAAAATCATTTTTAAGTTTAGCAATGAGCTTAAAAATGGCTACTTTATAGAACTTACTCTGCAGTGGTCAAGATGGTAAGCCTAATCCTTGAGCATTCTTATCAAAAACTAGACTGATAAATTGAAGTTTATTGAAAAATCTGTTTCTTTCCTTTAGCAAGAGTCGTTTTTAAACTTGACCCTGCAGGGTGATATTAAAAAAAATGCCTAGTGAAACTTTCTAAATTCCCTAAAATACGAAGAAAATTTAAGAAATAACGTGCGTATCACGACATTATTAATATTTATTTCGTCAGTTTTCATAGACAGTGTGTAATTGACATTGGAAAAGATTCATTCCAAGTGCATAGGTCATGCGGTATGTATTCCTTATTCTTTATCATGTCGCATCGACGTTCTAGCACTGAACTCGATCTGGTCTACGATAAATAAACTGTAAAATAAATGTAAAATATTTTATAAGATAAATTTTTCTCTTCTTTCGTCTGTCAGAAGATCAATGTAATCGTTGACGTATATTGAAAAAAAAAAAAAAGAGAAATCTGCATGTATCAACGAGAGAATGACAATTATCTACATCACTATTCAAATAAATTATCTTATTATTTAATAAATCATGGCAAAAGCTTTTATCTAATCACCGCTACAAGACTAGCAGAATTGGAAAATAAGATGAATAGGACAATTCCAAAGGAAAAGGAATATAGTCTCATGTAAATCATTACATAGATATAATTTTTGTTTTATTATGTACATAATCATCGCATTCCATGCCAACGTTCCTTCTCGTAAAGACGTGTTTCTATGAAGTTTTCTTTCTCTCTATCTCTCACCGGAAGGAGCAAGGAATAGTGTTAACAATCGACTGACATTATTGAAAATTGCTTCTTGTTCTTTTCATAGTAAAAAGGACGAGAGAAATAAAATAAGATAAAGTGTCGAAACACTTATCTTTTCCCTATTCTTTTTTTTTTTTTTTTCTACTGAATGAGTCTTAATGTGTGCACATTGTTGAGAATCGGTATCCAGTATTACCATCCAGGAGTATCACTAATATTACGAGTCGTAACAGTATAGCAATAGTAGTTTTGTAAATAGTAGTACTAGTAATAGTAATAATAATAGTAACAATGTAGCAAATTGATTTTAGAAGGCTCAATCAGAAAATCTATGGAAAACGCGCTAAATACAATTACTTGAGAAATTAATTAATTGTATCACTGTGGTGTAGAATGTACTAGGATAAACGCAGCGTGGGAGACGATTATTGTTATAATTATCATTAATTATTGGAAACGCTTCATTGTCAAATCTCGTGGGAAGCCAAACGACAATGCTTTGGAAGCTGAAACAAAAGAAAATTCCCAGATCCCCTTCGAAATTCTTGGATCATTGGCGAGGTCCTCTACCAGCCTGATGACATGGTACAGGATACGTAGTAGTTTATAAATAAATAAATAGGAAGTTATAAAAAATAAAAAATAATAACGAGAGAGATAAAGAGAGAACTCTAAAATGGAACGACCGACTTTGGATTCTCTCCAGTTTCCACGAAGTATAAGAAGAAAAAACAGACAGATTGATAGAGATGGTCAGAAAAGCTGGTAATCCTAAACGATTGTTATTGTACGTCATCGATTTTACAAAGAGGGAGAAAGTGGCAGTATTCCAATATGGCCGATCTTTATCAATCCGTGTAATCATATATAGTAGCAAAACGTAGATACAACCTTGGCTATGGAGGATGGACAGAAGCTCAGTCCCTGTATCGCTGTGACGACTTCTTACCATCACGATGGCTGTGACGAGACTTGGACCTGGACCTTCGACGATCGCGCGATCTGGATCTACTTTTCCTCTTACTCCTGGAACCGTAGGACCTTGAGCGCCTCTGCCGTTCCCTGGTTCTACTGCGAGATCGTCTCCTGGATCTGGATCGCGATCTCCGTCTATCTCTGGTCCTGGATCTACTTCTTCTCAATGACCTGGACCTGCTCCTCTTTCTTTCCCTGGAATAAGACCTGGATCGCCGTCTTTTGCCACCCGATCGTGATCTGGACCATTTTTCAGAACCAGATCTGGAACGCCGTCCACGCGAGCGAGATCTTTGTCGCTTCCAATCTCTCGTCCTGGAGCTGTGTTTTTTTCCAGATCTGTAGCTACTTGAGGATCGGGAACGGAAACCCTTTGGCGATCTGGACTTCCGCTTTCGTCTGTCAGACGACCCAGAACGCTTACTTCGTGCCTTACTGCGACTCCTAGATCTCTTCTTTCTTCGCTCATCCTTTGGCTTCTTATTGCCACCACGCTTAGGTGTACTACGACTCGAGTCTCTTGAACTCGAAGATGACGTGCTTGTCGATGCCGTATCCTCCGCTGATCTCGAAGGCGAAGAACTCGCCTTGGCGGTGGTGTCTGTCGTTGTCGTGACACTCTGTCTCTGCGGTGTCTGTCCGCCACTCGATAGAGTCTCTGACGCTTCTCTCTGATTATTTATCGTTTCTTTCTCATCAACTAAAGGTACACGAGGTCAGGGCATTACGAACCGTCGTTAAATTTATTTTGCTTTACTGACGTGCTTGCGGTTTATCGCTTAGTTATACCAATTGACTGAAACATACCTGAATCACGGCAGCTAGTATTACCAGTATGATTTTCCTGTTGCTTAGACAAGGTCTCTTCCTGGTGATGAGAGTCTCGTTCTTCCTCCTCAGCGAGGCGCGCCTCTATCTCCTCCTCTGTCTTTTTAAAAGCCTGCTGTCGCCGTCTCAGGGTCTCCTGAACAATTTTACATACAATTATTTCACTATAATTCACTTAAAAATTGTCAAACTAATAAGATACCTTGAGCTCCTCGTCGCTGTCATCATCCTGGGGTTCCTCATCCTGGCTAGGCTCGTCCTCAGTCTCGCTGTTGCTGTCCCCGTAGATGCCCAGACCTATCACACACAGAACAACGAGTAAATATCACTCCGGGGTAACCCTCACCAAGTAGAAGATCATCCACAGGTAGTGTGCCAATCGCCGTTAAACGGTATTTACACAGAAGAGTACATTTTGGAAACGTTGACAAGAGCCACACTCGTCATTCATTGATCTTTCACTGCTATTGATTTTCTTTATTGATCGATTTATCATTTCAATGAGTTTTTTTTCTTTCTTTTCCATGGAGAAATAGAGAACGAGACACTCACCGAGCTTCCGAGTGATCTGAGCAAGAGGGGCCGTGTTGTTCAGGGATGCGACTGGGGGCTGTCCTGCAGGGGCTTACAATACACACGCATTTAGTAACCAATCGCTCATGGTTATCCGGATCCTGGATATTTATTGGACACCGTCTTTTCATAATAAATAAAAACCCTCATTCTCCGGATACGAGTAATTCTTGGAGACATGATAATCATTTTGTTTTACCCATCTCGTCTCTCCATCGTTATACGTATTTGTCATTAATACTGTAACGCAATGATGCCTAGGAATATTCACTGAAAATACTCGTTATTACTACTGATAAATTATCACTGTTAAATAACACTTGATATCTCCTTCTCGTTCCTTTTTCTAATATACGTAACTCCTTCCAACCAAGCACTGCATATAATTCTACTCTAGCGACCACCTGGGAGTCATTATCACGTAAAAAAAGAATTGAAAGCATCCTGAAAGAAATATGTGAAGAGCGGGGCACATCTGAAAGTGACAAATAAGGTAAGCCTATGGAATTGATTTGAGGAACCTCTCTTTAATGGACGTTCGCTGTTATTTTTTTTTATCTGTTGTGTTCTTCGTTCTCTTGCATACAATGTCGATCGGCCGTCTCCGGGAGCCGAGCATCTCTCTCCCTCGAGTTGCCAACGATGAGAAAAAAACGCGAGCTCGAGAATTCTGTTAGTTCTAGCGGGTCTATCTGGGGTACCTTTGGCACGGGCGCGGCTCCAAACCTCTCGGCAGACCGAACTTATTTCTTCGTTCGTTACTTCCAGCAAGATCTCCGTCAGGGATCTCCGAACCTTCAGCATCTACGTCGTAATCAAGTTTGTGATATTATTGGATATATTATGGTGTAAGACATTGTCTTGGTTTTTTTAAGGAATTAAATATTATACTGGCGAGGATGTTTTACTTACCACCTCCTGGAGCAGCTCTTCCCGTGTGCGCTTAGGAGGTATAGAAATGGTGGACGATGGTGGAGGCTCTTCTGTGGTTGAGTGAGTATCCGGTGAATCTGCATCGCGAAAACGAGACCTTCTTGGTCTTATTACCACCTCAGGACTACGGGGATGATCTTTTTCGATTTCCTTTTCGTGAGACCCTCCATCGGCCTCTTGTTCGGCTTCTTCTTCGCTATCCGTATCCTATTGTAGGTGTTGGTAGTCTTAGGTTTATGCTTGGGAATTTATTGTTTGGTTTTGAGGAATTCTTACAAATTTGCTTTTGCTGGGATTTAATACGGCGCGTGCTTCCTCCTCAGCTTGCTTACGCGCTTCTATCTCTTGCTTTCGCAGGATTTCCTGCCTCTCCCTTTCAACAGCCTTTTGTTTTTCTCGCTCCATTTTCTCCAGACCCTCACGTATCCATGCAGGTAATTGCCTTCGTTTAGCAGCGTCTATGAGTTTATTAAAAAATATTTTAATTAAGTAATTATGCTCTCATGCTATTTTATATTATACCTATGGTTGTGCTCGTGTCCTCTTCTGGAGTTTTCTCCCTGTCCTCTCTATTTCTCATTACATCAATACCCCGTACATTTGGCATTCTATTCGAATGTCGCATCCCTTTCATAAATGGTTGGGGTTGCGGAGGCACTATACCTGGCTGATCACTAGTCCAGTAACCAGGGACCTAAAGATGAACTCATAGTTAGAAGTCCTATATCATCTAATATGTACAAAGGGAAAATGTTGACGTCACCTGATTGTAGGACTGAGCAGGTGGTACAGAATTGTATGCATATGGAGGTGGTGCTGCTGGAGGTGGAACAGTGAATCCTGTAGTAGTGGAAATAGCAGGAGCTGGAGGAACTACAGGAACTGTAGGAATTCCTATAGGTTTACCATCAGGTCCCATGGTAACTCCTGGAGGAGGTACCCCGCTCCATTCCCAATTTCCTGATCCAGTTCCAGGTGATCCCCACTGACTCCACTGATTCCACTGATTCCAGGCATCTAAAAATAAATATAAAATTATTGTCATCGATTTATATAATAAATCCTACAAATAGATCCTCGACAACCTGAACCACTAATGTTTGGGGCAGGAGGTGCTGGAGGCACCTCGTCATCCTTTGTATCCATATCCATAGGTGCTTCACCACCACCATCGTTCACTGTCGGAGAAGTATCAATGCTTGGTGGTGGTGGAGGTGCAGGAGGTACAACGGTTTCTTTCATCTTTATCCATTGCTGTGCCAAAGCTGCCCAATCAACTGAAAAACAGTAGGACAAAAAACTGAAAAATCACTATCTTATCAAACCAATAAAATTACTTTTTACAAAAAAAGGATCAATGTATTTTTTGAAAGATAGAAAACGAGCAAGTACCTTGGTCATTACTCATATTTTGATAGGCGGAAGGATTAAGCGCCCACTGGGTCGGATAATCCTTCCCCTCAAACATCTCGCCGCTCATTTTCATACGTGCAAAATTATTCGCACTGGCTTCCATCCGCGAAGTCTTCGATCAATTCAGTTTAACCTTTCCCCTCGTCAACATGGCAACTCTGATCGTTCAGGAACAACCGCACGAACGATAGCCCAAGTGAATCCGCTCAGTCAAATTTACCAGGATCACGAGTACGCTTACTTCTACAAGAAACCTCAACACCCCGAAGCCAACTGAGCCATAATAAACGAGAGCTATTATATTTTCAAAATCACAGCGATAACTGACCGGAACAATCCCGACTAGAGACTGCTTTTCATTGATATGAGAAGCCGCTTTGGATAAGCGGGGACTTTTTCGTTGGTTATATTACCGGAACTGGACAATCTACCCTCACGATTACTTTAATAATGGCGCGGTTGTCGCTATCCGGAAAGTAGAGAAATACCGTCTGTCCATTGTGATGTTACTGACAATGTTCACCTGATAAAAGTTACGTCTACCCTCAATTGACTAGGATATTGATGCTTCTGGTAATTGGAAAATGTAATAAGAAAATAGGTTACCATTCCCATTATACAAATATCGGTATAGTAGAAAATTTGGTACAGTATGAAAGTGTCTAAGCAACTGAGACAGCGTTCATTCTGTTGAAGATGGCAGTACGTCCTAAATACTGTCGTAACTTTATTACCAGTTTCAGATATAATAAATTCACTTTCAGTCGGTCACTACAGATAAATAGATCACGTATTTCCATGTTCGGTGTTGCACGAATCTGCTGGTTTTTTCGATTAAGTATAGCGTGTAGCTCCATGCGAATCTAACTCTGCACACGTCATATTAGATGACTATAGAAAAATGTGCCAATTCAAAACTTACCAAGTTACGTTTTACATTTCATCCAGAAAATTTGACTAATTCAAAATTCTATGATTTCGTATTAGTTCAAAAGTTCAAACGTTGCGTTATAGATGTCGCTAATAATCATATGATTTCGCAATACTCAACGCGGAATATGCAATACGCTTCTTCACCGGCTTATTAACTTATTAATTCTGGCACACGTCCTCGTTGGAGGAGGCAGCCATTAGGGAAGGAAGGAAGAAAATGACTTCAATTGACGTAAGAAGTTGACAAGATCAGCATCATGCCGCTCTACAGCATCCTAGTGTTCATTAATAATGAAATCAACATTATGAAATGCGTCTGTTAATCCAAAAACTATTATCATCCCGTCAACGAGGAACATTGGGGTAAGTTAATAATCAGTACGATAAGACCAAAGACGCTTTGTGTGTGATATCTTGAGGTTTTACCCCTCGTTATTCCCCCTCAACCCTTTAGGCTATTGGGATTTTCTTGATTTCCAAAAAATTAAGTATCACGTCAACATCAGTATAAAGTCTGAAACTTATTACTAGCTGGACTATCATACTCAAACTCGACTATCCAGCATAGAACGTATAGACGTTCATTGCGTCCCCAAGATACAATCTTAAGATGTTGGTACCGTGTGGGTAGTTCCATGTCAAGATCCCAGATAGCAACTTGACCTCAATTTGAACTGAAGCTCGAAAATCATTTGAATGTAAAAAGTGGACTACCGAACTTTATGTTGTGATTCAATTTTTTTATTTAAAAATGCATATAACCGTCTAGACAAAAATTACACCGACCTTAGTGTAAAAGTAACATTGATCAGGGTTACTTGAACATATTGTAGGTTGTACGTACCGTGTGGTGGAAAGCTACAATCGTCTGTTGTAATTTATTAACGTACCATTTAATGTTGTTGATGTAGGATATTGTTTACTAAAGCGTCAAATATGATCCAAACTCATACCCCGGTAAAAATAGGGTTAAATTTACCACCTTATATATTAAACTATACGCAATTTGTCTTGAAGCTTTCAGCACTGTGATTCGGAAGTATAAACCTGATTGTTACACAAATAGGAATGTATACGACATAATTGAATAAGGTAGGGTCTCTAGTTATACACAGGCAATTAATTCGAAATATATTTTTCTCTCGCACAAAAGTTGTAAATACCGTCTTCCTTGTCGAGTGTCATAAGCGGCTGAGGTACTAATAAGAAAATCAGTGTATCATCCAATGCCGCAAATTGCTTGATAATGCAATCTCTTCTGTCATAAAATGCCCATTAATCATTGCAGCAAACGAAAAAGTGTGACCTAACCTCGTTTAGTCCCACCTGACGAGGTAATGCGTTTAAAATTGACGCTACCTTCTCGTCCCATAGAGACTTTCGTGCTGATTCGATCCGTCTCGGACCTTAAGTGTGGATTATTTGAAGCATAAAATCATGGTGTGTAGAAATTATCACGTTAGGGTGTATTCCGAAATGTATTGACAGTACTGTAAAAGTAGTTACGTCTCTCTTAGATGCGTATGAATGAATAAGGACAAAGCGTTGGTTACAGTACTGGCAGTACTATCAGTACATTTCGGAACACACCCTTACTTATTGTTAAAATAGAATTTTCGTTTACGAATTTGACTCGACATACAGAATTGACATGGTGCCAGCGCAACACGTAGATCTGCATGGCGGAAAATTGTTGTGTATTCAAAAACAGTCAATAGACAAAAATATCAAATTGGCCGTTAACATTGGTGGGGCGAATTAGTTCGCCGATTCTAGTTCGCCGTACGAAGAGGCACGAAGTTCCCGCTCGAGTATTCTCGGCGTAGCGACGCCTGAGTACTTCTTGAATCGTGCACATAGCAGCGCGGTTTAGTCGGTTTCAGTCGGTTTGCAGTCACAGTATCGTGTTGTTGGTACTTCTGTCTTGTTTTCTCTCGTGCCTCTCTCTTTCTCTAACCTCGAACTATTGATGCAAGTGCACTTTTGAACACAACAGCCATTAATCACAGTGCACACGTGCGGTTGACGAGAAGTGATTTTTAACGGTTTGCAAGTACTTAACGAAATTTCTATATGGACAACAGTGTGTTTTCAATTTTGGCGCTTAAAATTCCAACGGTTTTCATATGGCTTGACATAAACTATGGTGTTGTGACTGATACGGATGATATGACGATACAGTGGAAATTGTGGAGTTATACGCATCCTCTGGTGCACGTGCGAATAGTGCATTAAAGTTATCCTGGAATTACGCGCAGTGTCAACGTTGACGGGTAAGTCCATAAATAAATTGTCCTTGCATCGGATGCCCTTAGTTATTTTGCTAATTCATCGTCGAGCTTCGTAGACGCGTATAGATGTTCTGTTGTTCTCGGAGTATGTAGATACAAAAAAAAGTTAGAGAATCTTAAACGTTTTTCAATTATTCTTTGTAACGACGGTGATAATAGATTTTGAAAGATCCTATATATGAAATCTATGACAATTATGTTTACCCGCCCTTAGATCAAACACTGTGTTGTGATTAGATTTTATTATTAGCAAAATCGGGTGATAATCTTTTCTTTGGATTTGTTTATAATTTTTCTTTTATAAGGCTATAGCGTTATAATATAATTTAACTGTTATCTGACCTGGGTCGTATTTGAATTATTTGTCGGTTTGTTTTATTATTAGCAGTCCAGTAATAATTGCCTTTTGGAATTTCTGTTTGTTTTTTCAAAGTAATTCTGCGATTATTACGACGCTGCTTAAATTCAACCCGGGCCTTTTGCCAGTTGGCCTCTGGTTAACTTTGCAACAATAGGCGCAAGAGAAAGAGAGACAGACAAAGCGGGATTAGGATCAGAAGGAAAAGTGATTTCCCGATAAAACAGTGATGTCATTTAATTGCTATTAGGAAGTCATTAGGTGTTTTTCTTGTTCAATGGCGAGTAGCTGATAAGGAAAAAGGATGAAAATGCGACCAATTGCACGATTACAAATCAACCGGAAGAAAGAGATTATTCTCGCGGTGTGAAGGTACGATGGAAAATTGGGTGAAAAGAAAGTGGAAAAAAAAATAAAGGAAGAAATCGTCCGCGTCTTTAGTTTCTATATCAATTTTGAGATATTGGATTTATGTACTAAATTGGCTCATTGTCAATAATCGTCTTGATCATGGCTGTACTTATAAATGAATTGGCGCGAATGATTGGCTAATTCGTTTTTCAAAAGATACACGTAATCGGCTATGGGATTGACATTTTTTTTTTTTCATTGCCGTTTATTATATTTTTTTTCTACTATGTCGTTTATGATAAACGAACCGAGATTGATGTGCGGTAAGGATAGAGCATGAATAATCAAGGCTATAGATGAAGAAAAACAAATTGAACAGAGCATCCTCTTGTATTTCAACGAGATGCAAATCTTAAGCGTAATATGTTTACGACATACCGGGTGATCAGGAACTAAATGTAAAAGATTATGGATTTTTTTTTTTGAAAATTTTTTATATATCCGTTTTATCATTTGCATGTGACTATGAAGAAAATTGAAGACTGCGGAGTGAGGGAGATAAGAAGAAAAAAAAGGCGCAAATTACCTGCTTAGCTGATTTCCGGATGAGGCACTGCTGTAATTTCCGGAATGGGTGCGGCCAGGGTAAGTAATCCACTTTTAAAAAAAAATCCTTGTAAGCTGTATTGTTGTGTGGGTGATATGTGGATCTTCTTGTTTATGACAGCCAGGGCTGTTAGCGGCATGACAGATATTAACAGATGTCAAATCAATATCAACGTATGGTTGCAGATGGTTTCTAACAAGCCTTCGTTATTGTCATTTGTTAAAAAAAAAATAATGGGATCTTCTTAACGATGATGGAATCGCGACGCCATCTACCTTGTACTTATTTTATAGACTGTACTAAAATATTGTGTCCCGACGATTAATTTATATACGTGTCTTCCGTAGGCGTTACGTGGAGGACAGCACCTGAAGAAGGATCATTGGGATAACCAGGATTATCAGGATCATCATCAGGACCAACTAGGAAAACGTGATGTCTGAGAGAAGCGGTCGACTTAGGTTCGTGGTTTGGAAATCCACCTTTCAAGGATAATTCGACAAAGTCCCGGAGACTCGGGGCAAAAATTGAAAAGTAATAAGGTGTATAAAGGGAAGGGAAGAACACAGGAGTACAGAATACAAAATACGTTTCGCCATTGTATTTGGAATTGGACATTCCTGCACGTTTGAAATTCATTTCGTTCTGGCTGTTATGATGGAATCGAATATCACCAACGACACCGAGGACGAGTTCATTGATTATGACGTGAACGAGTCACTCAGCCATTTTGAATGGATCGAATTAGCACCTGTGCTCGTTGTCTATACCCTCACGTTCTGCTTGGGACTCACTGGTGAGTTAAATGTGTATTTTGTTCTTTCTTCTATCCGAGTCCTTCTTGTCTGTCCTCTTTGCATTTTCCTTATGGTACTCTGTAACAGTATGTCCATTGTATTGTCATACTAAAATACTTTTTTTTTTTTTTTTACTTTTTTAGTACCTTCAAAGTATACTACCAATATGACAGTCCCACTGCCAAAACAGTGGTTTCTGTTTCGTTACAGCAAATATAGATCCCTGATCTCAGTGCTACCTTTCAGTGCTACTTTCAGTATATCCAACTACCTTTGATAATACTGACAGACGCTCAAAGCGCCAAAGCGGAACAAGATGTAACTACGTAAACAGTTTAGAGCAACATATTTCATGCTGGCAAGTTCGGTTTAATATTGGCTCCAGGTTGGCCCGTGCAAAGGGGGGCCTTTAAGAACTAAAATATTTGATCCTTATATATACGGTAATTTTGAAAGTTGTATCTACAAAACTTAAATTCTAATAGCGTCACATAAATCCGTCAAAGACTTTGGCTTCAGCTATACGAAAAACAACCTAGACTCTGTCTCTCCTCGTTCACGCGAAATCTGTTCCAAGAGCACAAGTGATACTCGCCGAATGTACAATTTTTCACAAAATTATCATTTAATTGAATTCGTCGCAATTTTGACGCCCGCTTGTCGTTTAAATTCTTTAATCTCGATAAACGACCCTACTAAGATATCATTAAAATGCCAATTTCTGTATAAACTTTTCAAATCCAGCTTCTTGCTTAATGAATTATTCGCCCTGTGACTAATTTATTTTATTACGTCACCAGCAGTCTCTTTGCTGCAAATTCAAGAAGGAGAAGCTACGAAACGTCATTTCTCTTTTGGTTAGCACCCCCCCTCGCCCCCCGCCACTGTCTCTCCAAACATAAACCACCCTTCGCCAGTCACCCTTATCATAAACGGATATTATTTCTCAAGGATGAATAGCAACTCTCTTTCCCTTATAGTATCTTTGGTATACCGGTCCTTTCATCTCTGGCATTATCATACTATTGAAGACAACACGCCCTGATAACTTTCATCTCAAGTTCAAACGAAGGTACTACCCTCAGCCTGAACCTACTTGAAACTTCATGGCGAGACAAAATAATTTTCAAGGAAGACAGCTACCCTGAAGTAAAGCTCACCCTTAATCGGTTCAGTGGACGATAATAGATAGTTGTTCAATTTTAAGGATGAATTTAAATACAGATCAAGGGTAATCGAGTTTTTCTGACTTCTCTCGAAATACTTGTTTGAAAGTTTCTCAGTGAGGTAGGAGGTGCGCGGGGGGGGGGGG